GACCTTCGGTGTAGAGTTTAGATAGAGTTATTACCTTAGCACCAGGTCCGGATCTATGAAGTTCAGATTCCTCCAGGTGGGTGTTGTTTGGTTCTGGCTGTGTGCTCCACTTCTTTCTGCTGCAGGCGTTAGAGTTGAACCCTTTTTGTCTCTGGGAAGATGTTCTGCTCCTGAATCAGCTGGGTGGGTCTAGCCTCTAGCCTCTTTGCAGGGAGTTCTGCTGAAGGGTTCCCTGCTGGGCCTGCAGCCTGGGTAGAATGAGGATCGCGGGCCTGGGTCGTCTTGCAGGCCTGGGTCATCTTACTCACTCGCCGGGCCTGTGCTCTGGGTCTGTTCAGGATCCCACCAGGCCCCAGGTCGTCTCACTCACTCGCCGGCCTGCGCTCTGGGTCTGTTCAGGATCCCGCAGCCTGGGTCGTCTCACTCACTCACCAGGCCTGCGCTCTGGGTCAGTTCACGATCCGGAAGGCCCCAGCAATCCTTTATTATTGACCAATGAATTGTTTGGAAATACATTGTTTTATTTCCACTAGCTGTTTTTTGGGTTTTTTTGTTTTGTTTTGTTTTGTTTTTTTTCAGAACCAGGGATTGAACTCAGACCCTTGCGCTTGCCAGGGAAGCACTTATTCCACTGAGCCATCTCCCTGGCCCCCTTTATTTCCAACATAATTTTAATTTGTTGAGTTTTTAGATATATTGTTACTGGTGACATCTAATTCATTTTCTGTGGGGTCAGAGAACATATTCTACAAGTTTTAAATTTTTTCAAATTTGTTATTGTCCAGCATGTTCTAACTGAATGAGCAATCCTTGTGTTCTCGAAAAGACAGGTATTGGGCCAGGGAGATAGCTCAGTGGGATAAGTGCCTATCCAGCAAGTACAAGGTCCTGAGTTTGATCCTTGGTACCACAAAATAAAAAAGAAAAGACAGGTGTTCACCTATTGTCAGCTGAAGTATTCTGAGCCAGGTCAAGTTGGTTGAATTGGCTGACGGGGCTACTGAATTTTTCTGTATCCGTCTTAGTTGTTTACTCATTCTGCCAGTCACAGAGAGAAGGATATTATGTCTCCACCAGTGGTTGGTTTTACGGAGGGTCTTATTATATAATCCCCAGTGGTCTCAGATCTAGGTACCCTAGCCTGACTTCAAATCCCCCTACCTTGCTCTCTCAGGTGCTGAGATTGCAGGCACGGATCAGCATGCCCAGGTACGTTTTGGCTTTGCCTATTTTCTCATAGAGTTCTACTGTATTTGTTTCATTTATTTTAAGTCTCTGTTATTACTGATATCCTATATAAGACTGTCATGTCCTCTTGATCAATTCAGTTTATCATTACATATATCCTGTTTGTTCACTGAAGCATGTTTTATCTGCTATTAATCCAGCCATAAGCTTTTTTGCTTATTTTTTGCATGGTACACTTTTTTCATTTTTTACTCGTGTTTCTTTGTAATTAAAGTATAACTCAGCATACAGGTAGGTATCATTTTATCAAGCTTGACAACCCCTGCCTTTTCACTGGAGTGCTTAGTCATTCATACTTAATATAATGACTGGTGTACTTAGCATTAAGTCTTCTATCTTGTTATTTACTTTCTATTTGTCACATCTGGGTTTTTTCTCTTTTTATTTTGTTGCTCGTGTGTCACTGCTTTCCAACTTTATTTTTGGTAAGTCATTTTTTTAAGCATTTAACTTTGTGGCCATCAAACTGAGATGTTAGTGAGCTCAGGCTCAGCCAAACACACTGCTGTCCTATATCATCTCACCGGAGCCCCCAGCTGTCTCCACAGGGAAGCAGCTCAGCAGGATCCACAGCCACAAATGGGCTCCCTCACCTTCAAGGAAAAATGCAGACCTGAGAGAGACCACCAAAGTGAGTTCACCTCCTCTGCCCTCAGGGCACTGGCTGAGCAGGGTGGGGGCTGCTGACCTCTCAGGAGAGCCCTTCTCAGCCTCCCACTGCCAACAAAGCCTCCTGTTACAGCAAGACCAGCACCGCAGGCAGTAGGAAAAACTGCCTCTGATTTTTGGAGAGGAGCATTTCTTTATACCCTATAGTCTTCCATTTTGCTCTCAGGACTGGAGCCAGAGTGCCCTGCCAAGTAGCAGGGGAACAATAATCCCAATATTGCAGGTCTTCTTGGTATTATGCACAGCTATGCATTCTGAGAGCCTGGAGGACACTGCCCAGAGCAAGCTCATAGTAGCTGGGGGCCGCGGGAGTGTCCTGTTGCTGCTCAGCAAGCAACAGACGGGGGCTGGGGGGGTTAAGACAAGCAAAGTCTGTTTCCTCACAGTTCTGAAGGCCAGTAGTCTGAAATCAAGGTGGGGGGCAGGGTGGGGCTCCCTCTGGAGGCTCTAGAGAAGCAGGCTTTATCCCTCTTCCAGCTCTGGGTGGCTCCAGGTTGTCCCTTGGCTGTGGCTGTGGCCCTCCTGTCCCTGCGCCATCTTCAGGTGGCCTGTTCCTTGGGTGTCCGTCTCGGTGTTTCTCCTCTCTTCCTCAGGATATTTGCCATGGACTTCATCTCAAGATCCTTAATTGTATCTACAAAGATGCTTTTTACAAATAAGGCCATCGTCACAGGTTCTGGGGGTCAGGACATGGGGTATCTCCAGAAGGCTACTACAGTAACTACAGTAGCTTTCACATTTGCTCTTCCTTAATATTTTCCCATAGGTCCAGGAAGCAGCTCAGGATGGAATATTCTTTGAGCATTCCTGGGTGCCCAATAGTTCAGTTTGCCCCATGTCAGCCTTCAGGCTGGCCCTGCACAAAGGAACCACCTGTTTCACAGGGGACACAGGGCATAGGGCCAGGTCCCAGCTAGGCTCAGAGCAAGCCCTGTTCCACCTGCCTGCCCAGCCCACCGGGAAGCCTGTTCTGCAAAACCAAAACTGGGTCTCTGTCTTGTGCATGCCCCCAGTCACTTTATACTTAGGGGCAACGCTGTCCCTGCGCCTCTGTCTCACGCTCAGTGATATGGTGGCACTCCTGCAAGAAATGCAAATAGAGGCCACTCCCACTCCACAGCCACTTGGACTTTCCCTAAGGGGTTCTGCAGAGGTGGACAAAAGTCATGTGCATTCAATTTAAATCTTACAGTCACATTCCAAGGGCCATTACTGGGCAGCACCAAGGGACAACAAATACTTCCTGAGAACCAGTCATAGAACTGTCACCACCACTCTGCCTCAGCGAGGGGAGGATGCTTCTAGCCCCACCCAGCCCCCCATCAAGGCTTTCCCTCCCCTGTGTCAGCTGAAATTCCCCTAAAATACAACGGCTTCTAATTCAAGGACACTTCTTTGCCAATTCAAGTTGATAAAGCCAAGGCAGAGAAGCAACACAGTCTATTTAATGAACCTGCTCATTCTGGCCCTTCCCACAACAAATCGTTCAGAACAGACTCTCTCCAAGGCTGGGGAGACAGGCATACAAAGTGCCCCTTCTGCTAGGTGAAGCCGGCCAGCAGGATGCTGTTGACTTCAGTACAGAACCACGCACTCGCTCCACCTGTTCATCCCACTTCGCTGCTTTTTCCTTTTATATAAATGACCACTCCTAAAAGCCTCTGGGGTTCACTGCACTGGTTGTTTCAAATATAATCACTGTCACATAGATCCTGGAAATTATCACTATAAGTAAAAGAAATAGAAAGTCTACATTGATATAACTGAGTTGGTGCTTGCCATGAATCACGAACAAGCTCAGACAAAGATCCTGGGTTATTTTTCAAGACCTATTTCTACCAACCAATGAGGAAATGAAGTAGCTTTCAGCATTTATAAATAAATGAATTTATTATTCACAAGCTGAAAATACCTGGTTACATCTGGGCTGGCATTAAATAATTTATACACATCTTTTCGACAGACTTCCCTTGTAAGTCCATGTGTTTACAACAGCAAAATTCAACCTGTGCCCTTCACTGATGGCCAGGCCCCCCTTCTGGAATCTGGGGACCGCTCCACAAGCATCAAGCTCTTGCTGCAGCACGTTCCAGAACACCCTGAAGAGCCCACACCGTGGGGGAAAATATCACTCAGCGACATGGTTCTTCGAAAGCCGAGGTGTCCACCAGGAGACGTCTGTGGGCCAGAGTATGGCCCTGCTAACTCCCTCAGCAGCCCGTCGGTGGGCAGGCTCTGCTCTGGTGCTTGGCTATGTCCTCAAAACCGAGGCAGAAGCTGCAGAGGGCTGGTAGCTGAGCTCAGGCTAGGTCCACAGGGACAGGCCACATGCCCTGGTAATGTTCAAAGAGATCAGTGCTCCCTCCCTCCAGCTTCAGGGACAACACCAGCAGCACCCTCACCTAATGCTTCAGGAATGAAATCTTAACCACAGCATAATAATGGGCAAAGGCTCTTTTGCAAATATATTTTACAGTTACATAATAAAGCATCACCTATATATACACACATTTACAGCGACTCAGGACAGGGCTGTGCCCTGGGAGGCAGCTGTTCCGGAGATAAGATAGTGCCTGTTCTTCCAGACAGACCTTTCTGTCTATGACTTTCAAAGAAACAAAGCCTCTAGGTTTCTTCATTTTACATACAAACTTTGAATTCATGAGGAAAGAGAGGCCAGGGGTGGTAGAACACACCTCTAACCCCAGTACTCAAGGAGGCTGAGGCAGGAGACTGAGTCTGAGCTCGGCCTGAGCAATTTAGCGAGTTGGCAAGATCCTATCTCAAAATAGAAAGAGGGACTGGGATACAGCTCATTTTAAAGCCCTGAGCTTGAATCCTAGTGCTGCCCAAAGGGGGGAGGCAGGAAGGAGAAAAGAGAAGGGAGGGAGGAAGAAGGACAGGGAAGGGAAGGGGGGGGGAGGTGAGAAGAGGGAAGATAAAGTGAGCCCATGCCTGACTGCACAGATTTGATCCCAGTGTTGTCGCCCGCTCAGGCAGGCCATCTGTTCTGACAGGGCAGCCTGGGCAGTGCAAACCCGCCCAACCAAAGTGGTTACTGTAAAATGCCCAGAAGACTGGCTGGAAATTAGGAGTCACTGGAAGACTAGTGACTTGGCTCAACATGATGCCCAGACATTGTCACCCTGCTGACACCGAAATGTGAATGCGTGAAGTATAAGAGACGCAAAGCCAGATGCCAGGGGCTCCAGGGCATGTGTGATTTAGCTAAACTGGTGCACCCAGTGCTGACCCTGGTTGTAGAGTTTGGAACTTTCCAGGCAGCACACACGGTAGCTGCCCAGCAGAGGTAGCTGTTATCCAACTGAGCCGTAGCCACCAGCCTGAGGCGCACCTGGCTTGAGCTGCCCTCGGGCCGGAAGCTCTTGTCCTAGGCCCACAGAGAGGACACATTCCACACGGGCCCAGACAGCTCTCCACCTGACTGGGTGGCTCGGCCCTTGCACAGCCTTCAGGGCTGCTGCTCTGGGGACAGCTCCAGTGAGGCCTGCACAGCTGGCAGGGCAGGCTGCCGCCTGCTCATGTGCCCACCGTCACTCCACTTTCCAGATGGCAATCTTGCCCTCTTCCCTGCCTGACCCACTCAGCACATATCGGTCCTCGGCAGAGCACAGGGTCCTCACGGTGTCTGCATGTGCCAGCAACTCCTTTTCCACTGTCTTCTTCTCCACGTCAATCACATAGATCTTCCCTTTAAGTCTTCCCTGTGACAGTCCCCTGCCGCCCACCCAGATCTGCCAGGGAAAAACAGGAGTGTCAGCTGGGGAGGGGATGTATAGTGCTATACCCAGTGCCTGCGATGACTCATGCACCCCAAATTCGTGTCCTTCCTGGTGTCCCAGAGGCTGGGCCACCTAATGGGCCCACAGGATGGAGCCTTGCGCTATGGACTACCCCAAGCCATAAAGCCCAGGGGATAATGTGACCACAGTTAATGATTCTGTCAGGTGTACCTCAAATTTGCTAAGAGGTAAATTTTAAAAGTTTTCTACACAAAACAAACCCCAGAGTAGTAACTGAAGGGATGCATGTTAATGAGCTGGACTGTGGTGATTAGACACTGTATACATTAAATGGGTATTATTTATACTTGTTAATTATATTTCAATAAAGCTGGTGTAGGAGGGCTCTAATAGAAATTCCCTGCAGAGTTGCAGGCTTGCCTGGGACCTGGGACTCTTTGTTGCTTCTCATGTCTCCCCTTTGGGATTGGATTGTGTACTCTCGCCCTCCCTGATGTCTGTGTTCTGGGAAGAGAGAGTGGTCTCTAGTTTCACAGCCCCACAGCTGGGGAGTTCTGCCCCCGATGGATTACAGCCAGAGCTGCACTCCTATGGGTTGGATAAGTGTCACCTAAAGCTCCAGAGGTTAAAGGTTTGGACCCCAGCTAGGTACAGCTGGGAGGGGGTGGGACCTGTAAGGTATCACCACACCTTGTTTTCAGATTCCCAGCCTCTGGAACACTGGAAAAAGAAAGCCGGGCTAGATTGTGTAAGCGACCCAGACTGTGGTTATTTACTATGGCAGCCCTGGGGAGGTCTGGTTTCTGAGCACTGTAATCACACTAGCAAACTCAAGGTATGTGGCAATCTAGGGACACAGAGACAGAACCTGGGAGAGGACGCAAGGTGGAAGCAGCAGGCGGGGCCAGGCAGGGAAGCACAGATTGCCACCTTACCTGCCTCTTCACCCGGATCATGCAGCTGACCTCAGAGCAGTCCTGCAGGTGAATCCGCTGCGGGGCCTGAGCCAGGTCCTGCAGGCTCCAGATGTACACCTCACTGTGCCCTGCACAGGCAGCCCACAGCTGCCCCTGCTAAAGCAAAGAGCAGGCTGGCACTGCGCTGTCCGGAGGCAGCCCACCCTGTGCCCATGCCCCTCAGTGCAGTACCTCGGGGAGAAGCTGCAGGCCCAAGAAGGAGTTCTGTGCCTCCCCGACGTCCTCGTCTATCCTCAGCTCTTGGCACCGGGTGCCGTGCGTCGTTACTACCACAATGCTGCTGTCCGTGCCTGTGGCAGGAAAGGACTGGAATGAGGACCAAGCAAAGTGAGTACAGAAGCAGAGGGGCCACCACGTGGTACATGTCCCATGTGCTGTTCAGGAGTTGGCACAGGCACTTACATTCTGTCAATCTACAGAGCAACGTGTGACTATAAGGACTTTTGGTTCCTTTCCTTCTTTTTTTTTTTTTGGTGCACAGAGGATCAAACCCAGAGGGATGGTGCTCTACCACTGATCTACAACATCCTATACGTTTTTATTTTTTGAGACCAGGTCTTGCTAAGTTGTTCATTCAGGATTTCAGCTTGTGCTCCTTCTGCCTCAAACACCGTAAGTGCTGGGATTACAAGCATGCACTACTCTGCGCAGTTTGTGAGCCCCATTTCTACAGAGAGGAAACAGCTGGAGCCCTCCATCCTCTTTTGAGGCTTTGTGCAAAGTGGCTGGATGGTACAGCTGCTTTATAAGTTGCCCAGCAACTACTGCTTTGAGTTCTCTGTCACCGACAGGAGTGGTTCCCAACCCATTTAGTGACCACAATTCAAGGCACATTCCTGTGCTTGGTTGTGGCATTTCCCTTAGATACAACTTTACCCACTCAGGTAAAAGGCCCTCCACCTCTGCGAGATCCTAACATCCTTTTTTTTTTTTTTTTTTTGGCGGAACTGGGAATTGAACTCAGGTCCTTGCGCTTGCCAGGGAAGCGCTTATTCTACTGAGCCATCTCCCCAGCCCTCACCTCTGCGAGATAAAAGCCACCAAAGCCAGCCCAGAGGAGAGGCAAAGCCATGTCTACAGTGAAGGCAGAGACGCCTGAAGAAAAAGCTCGGCATGGCCCAGCTTTCTCTCTCGTACTGTCACTGTATGCAGTTCTGCCTCCCCTCCCCACCTGGTGTGACGGCCACCAGACAGCAGGCACAGGCCTGATTTCCAGCCGCTACAACCCTGGACTGCAGCCCCCGCCTCCAGCCTTCAGCCTCACCTGGGCAATGGCCCGTTGGTCCCCGGCCACCTGATGGCTCAGAAGCCAACTTGAGTTTTTATCTCCGCGGGACTTCTGAGCCAGAGACCCAATATGCAAACAGCGGCGTCCTCCAGGAAGCCTCTCGTGCAGCCAGGCGGTTACCCACTCAGGCTGATGAATAAGGCCCTTGCAGGCAGCTGCACAGGAAGAACGTTTGGCTAGCAGGAGCCACGAGCCACAGCCACAGGAAGCCCACGTGCAGGGGCCTCTGCCTGGGGGGCTAGAGCCACCAGCTCCCCGGCCACCCTGATGCTGCACATGCTGAGGCCTCATGGGCCCCTAGTGCAGGAGGAGAGGGCAGAGCTCAGCACCTACGCTGCTGTGTGAACAGCCAAAGGTGCAGATGTGGACAGATGTGTGGCCATTACCAAAAGGTCAGACAGGAAGGGCTGGTAAGGATGTGGAGAAATTGGAGCCCTCATACCCTGCTTGTGGCAACATGGGACGGTGCTGCTGCTCTGAGAAAAGGCAGCAGTTCCTCACGCAGCTAAACACAATCCCAGAGCTGTCCTAGAAGAACAGGTGATGTAGCGTTGAGCTTGTATAGGAGCACACAGAATACTGTCGTACTACTTAGAGATGAAAATGAACGCACTATTGACACTCCAAGGAGCACAGATGAACCCTAAAAGTATAGTGAATGAATGAAGACAGGTGACAGAACATATAGTGTAGGCTCCACTTCTAGAAAGTTCTAGAAAAAAGCAAAGTCATGGTGACAGAGTGAACAACAACTTTGTTTGCATCCCTTTGGGCAGGGAAAGGCCTAGAAGGGGCCGAGAGGAACTTTCATCAGTAGTGGAAGGGTGCTAGGTCTTGATGTTCCTACAGATATGCTGTGTGTATAGTCGGCCCTCAATATCTGCATGTCTCACATCTGTGGATTCAATCCACTGTAGCTTGAAATTATTTGAAAAAAAATTCACATAGAGCTATCTGTATGTCTCACATCTGTGGATTCAATCCACTGGCCGGGGTCACCCCCAGACCAGGCCCTGTGAGAACAGAGAGAGGGTAGGCGAAATTATTTGAAAAAAAACTCACACGCTGAGAGTGCAGTTAGCCATAGAGCGCTTAGCTAGCACGCGCAGGCTGGGGTCAGTCTTGAACACATACATATACTAGTCTGTTCTGAACATGTACAAGATTTCCCCTTGTCACTAGTCCATAAACCATACAGCATAACTATTTATGTAACACTTGCATTGTATTAGGTACCGTAAGACATCTTGAGATGTGTACAGTATAAAATGTGCGGTACAAGAAGATAGGCATGCGTTCTATACAACCACTGTGCCGTTTTACACAAAGGGCTCCACTAGCCATGAATTTTGATATCACAGGGGTGCTGGAACTACTCCCCTGTGGGCATTGAGGGACAACTCTGCTTGGGTCATAACAACAACCTGCATACTTGGGCATTTTACTATGTGTAAAATATGTTTCAACTGAAGCATTTGTGGAACTCACGAACATTACTCATGCGGTCTCATCCCGGGCAGGGAAGCTCCAGAAATGCAGGCAGGGTTTGCACCCGAGGGCATCAGAAACGTAGAACATGAGCTACCAGGCCAAGCCTGCCCAGCCTATCACCCCTGGAAATGTCAGCTCAGCTCCAAGCACACAAAGGGCCCCAGGGATGTGCCAGGATCAGCCCAGGTAACCACAACACGGCCTTGCTGACCTGGTCCCTGGGGGAAGGAGTCACACACACACACACACACACACACACACACACACACACACGGCTGAAGAGGAGCAGCACTGTGACCTCAGCATCTGGGCTGGGGTCACCCCCAGACCAGGCCCTGTGAGGACAGAGAGAGGGTAGGTGGGAGGAGGCCTAGGGGGCTGGGTGCGGGAGAAGGCCGCTGGGAGCAGAGAGAAGTAACCGGGACAGGGGCCCTTCCTGCCCAGGCAGGGAGCCAGGCCATCTGGACTTACAGCACCACAGGCTGCTGCTGTGCAGGCTGATGGACGTGAGGCCGCAGTAGGGGAGCTGGAAGCTGCAGGTCACCCGCAGCGTGCTGACGTTCCATGCCAGGACTGTCCCATCCAAGCTGCAGGAGTAGACCTCGCTGGAGGGACCAAAAACACACACGGGTGGATTTAGGCCTTCGTAGCACTGTGTGTTCCAACCGCTAGAGGAACAAAGCCACCACTGGATTCTCCACCACAGGGATGTTAAGCAATTTGCCACTCCTGTGAGCACGTCAGTAGATAACCAGCGGCTGGTCACAGGCTTGGTGAGTGAAGCCACAGCTGACCATTACCTGTAGTTTGGCCTCAGCAAGGGGCCACCCAGCTCCAAGAGAAGCCCCGGAGACAAGCACACCTCACTAGGTTTAACAACCCGCAGTTGCAGGAAAGCAGGTTGTGGCCAGTGCCGTTCATGACTCCCACACCTTGTGGCCTATTCCACTACCAGGTTCGTGTCCATGTCCCACTTGGACTAGGCTTGGCAAAGACAGAGGCTCTCTAGAGCTAAGTGAGGGCAAGAAGGGGCCAGGAGGAGAGCCGGCTTGGAGGGAGGCACAGGAGCTGACCACCTGCCAGGCACAGAGACCCTACCACATCAGCGTGCGGTGTGTGTCCACAGAACACAGATGGGCAGAATAGAAGCAGGCATTCTTTTTTTTTTTTTTTTTTTTTCTTTAGGCATTCTTGACATAATGACGCAAACTGAAATTACGGTTGGACGGTGGCCCTGAGAAAATACACTGGAGTCCCAAACCTCAGTATCTCAGAATCTGACCTGCAGAAATTAAAATGAGCTCACTATGATGGGACATGACTGGTGTGTCCTTCTACACAGCAGAGCCAAGGACCCTGCAGCAGACACACAAGGACACATGGGTGGCCATCAGCCACCAGGCACCGGACCAGGAAGGAAGGACTCTCCACAAAGCGCTCTGGACTTTGAACTCATGGCCTCCAGAACTGGGGGCACTTCTACTCTAAGTGAACTCCTTTGTGGCATTCTGTCAGGGTGGCACTATGAAACTAGTACAAAAGAAAGGAATGTGGTTTGTTAGGACCTGGTGAGCGGTCACCGAAAGCAGGATGCTTGGGAAGAGAAGGCAGGAATCCATGGTTTTAGGGTGTGTGTCTAGATGCCCCCCAAGTTTCATGCAGGCATCATTAGGGCTTGTTTCAGGGGTGGCTGGATACAGAGCGTGATGCTGGGCTAGATTCGTGGCAATCTAGCTCAGTGCTACAATGCTACACTCAAGGGCCCTAGGATTACGCATGCGTGTGCTACTCCCCCCAAGCAGCTGTATGAGATGGAAATGGGTAGAAAGAGCCTGGCTGTCCTTGCTTATTATTCTGCTGCCGCCTGCCTACCATGATCTGTTCCCCTTCTGTGACTCCTGTCTGCCACACCACCCTGCCTTGGAGCCAGCCAATTATGGATAAGCCATTCCTCTTTAACTTTTGCTGCTGGGTATTCTGGCACAGCAACAAGAAAAGTAACTAAGACACATGGGGACCCTAGAGAGGGCCAGAGAAATGACCTTTACAGTTCCTCCTGGGGATGCTGACTCCTTAAAATAGGGGAGTAGGCATGGGAGGCCCCAGTCTACTGACCACAACCCATCTGTGTGGCTGTGGGGGCACCTCTTGCCCTCTCTGGAAGCCCCCCATGGACCAGGATAGTCTCAGGGCTTTGTGATCCAAATATTTTTCTCCAGAACAGCTTGACCCCAGATAGGAGGAGGCTAGCTAAGCACATCCATGTGATGGGACTCAGCTGTGCCCACAGTGGCGCTACGGTTGGCTCTAAAAGGCTCCCCAAAGTCTTGTGTGTACAGCAGTGGGCTCCCTGGAAAGTCACTTGAGGTGGGGCCCTGTATTCACTGGGTGCTGATCCACTGATGAGTTCAAGGCTGAATGTGCTGCTAGCAGGCACACCCTGGCTGGAGGCCATCCCTGAGGACACGCTCTGGAAGAGTGGATTCTCGTCCCCAGCTCCTCCCTTCTCTCTGCCTCCTGGCTGTCACAGGTTGGTCTTTACCACACCCTTCCACCATGCCATCCTGCCTTGGACTAAATCCTCTGAAAACTGTGAGCCAAGATAAATCTCTTCTTTAGGTTGTGGGTACTGGGTATTTTGGCCTAGAAACTAGGAAAATGGTTAACACAGGTGGAGTCTGGAGCTGCCTGTCCTTCCTTCCCTGAAGAAGGGAGGGCAGGGCCAGAAGAGAAAGTCTATAGGGTGGGTTTAAAAATGAAGATCTCTGGCACCCCAGACATCGTCCCCACCCAGAAAAGAGCTCAAGACAGGTCTAGGGACACAGCTGCCCCACATCAGCCCTGTAGTTTGCACCAGGAAGTGCCTCACTGGTCCCAGTCAGTCTGCACACTGCTGAGCAGCAAGTAAGTTTGAGGGGACTGAGGGCATCTTACAAGGATGTTTTTTAAACGGAGCCAAGACTGAAAACTTGAGTGAACACACACAGAACAGCAAATTCCCGATGTCAGTGAGGCAACTGTGGACAATGGGTGCTAATCTTACAGGGGACTCACCACAGGCCTGCACTGTCCCTGACCTCAGCAGGAAGGCCAGGTGCCCAGCCAGGCCCCTCTCAGAGCAGAAGCACTCCTCGTGTCCACAGCAGAAGCAGACACAGCCTGCCATCTCCCGGCTATCCCACCGACTTGCCCTCCTGGTTCCCGGGACATGCACCTCGGGAAGCCCTCCTGAGGGCCACTGAGTTTCCATCCTTGCTTAGTCTCCATACCTGGGCTTCTTCCCGTCTTGCACGATCAGGCCCGTGACACCAGTGCGGTGGTCTGTGAGCTGCTTGTTGCAGGACATGCTGTGGACATTGATAATGTAGATGACAGAGTCGTCTGAGCCAATCCACACCTGGCTCTGCTCCGCCATCACCATGCAGTTCTAAGGGGAGACCAGGAATGAAGAGCAACGCTCAGTGTTCATGGGCTGCATTCTATAAATGAGCCACAAACAGTACTGAACCCTTGCTCCTGGGGACAAAGAGCGCGGGGCCCAGGGTATCTGATCACGGCATTTTCTTCAATGGGTTACCATGTGACCTTGTTTTAGGTTTGTGTTGTTTCTTCCTAATACACTTTATTGAGTATGCATTTTTTTTGTTTGTTTTTTTAAAATTTTATCTTATTTTGTTTATTTATTTATTTATTTTGTGTGTGTGTGGCCAGCTCAGCCCACCAGGGGGCAGGCTGGCTGGCATGTGGTGCTGGGGGATTGAACCGCGGTCCCTGTGCTTTGCTTAGCTTGTTCTAAGTAGGTGCTTTAGACCACTGAGCCATCTCACCAGCCCCAAGTATGCATTGTTGCTCTGTGAATGTTGAATGCGTAGCCAATGGGGTCACTGCCACACCTGAGCGAAGCTCACCTGACCTCTCTGTCTTCCCCATGGGGTGTGTCACAGCCTCTGAGTACACAGCAACACTACCAGAACCACACTTGGGGCCACATTACATAGCCAGGTCACCAACAAAAGCACAAAAATGTGGAAACCATGGGAACCTTGGAAAAGCTGCTAGAGTCTGCGTACAGGCAGAAGACCGTGACTTTGCCAGCCTCAGCTGGGATGGACACATCAGCAACTCAATTTTTCCCACTTGTGCCTATGCAGGAAGCCACCATGTGTACCTATCTGGAGTCACAAGTAACTTTTATCGGGCAGCTGCAAAGAATATAGAAAGGACAGTCTATCACAGAGGGACAGCCAACAATGGGGCTCTGTTTCTAGTGTCCTTGGTGCCTGCCATTTATCAAGGCCCAGTGGCAGCAATTCTTCTGTTTATTGCTAGGCTTTTTGATACTGCAAATTAAGACTTAAGACACCAAAGAATTAGAATGTCACATGTCACGTGCAATAGGGCTGTGTCCACCTGTACCTGGCAATGGGTCTAGTGGCCTGACCTGTCCCAGCCGGTGCCAACAGAGATGGTCAGGCAGCTGCTGCCTGTGCTGTGTGACCTCTTCTGTCCCTAGCCATGACACAGCCCGCGTGGTACTACTGAATAAATGCCTCACAGATTTTCTTTTTTCTTTTTCTTTTTTTTTTGGCAGAACAGGGGATTGAACTCAGGCCCTTTCGCTTGCCAGGGAAGCGCTTATTCTACTGAACCATTTCCCCGGCCCCAGATTTTCAAAGAGTAACAGAGACATCACATTGGCAGGTTGTTGAGGACCAGATACAATACTAGATACAGTCAGTGTCCGTGGTAGTTGTAATCTTTAAGTCAGAAGAAAGAGCTTATAAAAATCATTTCAATTCTAGTCATAAAAATTCCTATAATTTAGAAAAGGAAGCCAATTTGTTAATGCAGGAACTTTTCATTAAGAGTTTGTTTTTTTTTTTTTAACACATTCACATAAAGATTGGTGTAATTTTTGTAAAATGTCTCTCCTACATGGCCCCAAGATGTCTTAGATAAACCAATTTGAACCTCCCATTTCAGGTGAGGCAGTGTCTTCTTGAGCTATTCCCCAGGTTTCTTTCTTATGGAAAAATATGAAATATCTATGAAAACAGCAGGAAGATATTTTCACATAACTGAATAACATGTTGCTTTTCAGTGTTGCCAGGCCTAACTGGAAGGCAGTGGAGACTGTTACAAGATGAAGGCTTTTCGTGGACATTCCTCAACAAACTAAGATTAGAGGTCTCATTTGATCCGGCTATTCCCCTCCTGGGTATTTTTCTAGAAGAATTGAAAACATCGTGCCACAGTGCTCTTGTGCACCCACGTTGGCAGCAGCACCACGTTTATCATAGCTAAATCTGGGAAACAACCAAATGCCCATGAACTGAGAAACAGATAAAAAAGATGTAGTGTTTTACACAATGGAGTATTACTCAGCCAAAAAGAAAGACCAACTCAAGGCTTCCATAGGTAAATGGATGCAACTAGAGGCCATACTCATAAGTGAAATAAATCAACCCACGTGTGAAAACACTGTATTGTTTTCCTAGATTTTGAAAGTGAAAAAGTAAACAAAATCCAAAAAGTACAACAGATATTGTGAAAGAAAGAGAAATTGCTTAAAAGGAAAGAACTGGGATAAAGGAAAGGAGAACAGAAAAATGAAGGGGGGAAAAATATATATATATATATACACATGCAAGATTGCTACGATAATTGTACTACTAATTTCTATTGGTATATTGAAAGGAATAGTTAATGCTTAATTTCTGAGCAATTTTATATGCCTCTATCTGGTAACCCAAACAACTACTTGAAGATAACAGTGTTCAATATAACCACCACTGTTGATTTCCTATCACCTTGTTTTGCAATTCTATATTGTTATTAATGTTTTTAATTCTTAATTCTCTTTAAAATAAAAAACTTAAATTGATTTTAATATAACTAGGGTTTTAAATTTTTTTTAATGAAATTGCTTTTAACGAGGATTTTAAAATTGTTATTGAAAAGTCTTTGAAATGTCATTGCTAAGAGCCAACAGAAAAAAATCTAGGCTAAGAATGATTTCCTTTATTTCTCTATCCTGTTTTGTTTCATTAGAGGCATTACTGCACCTCTGTAACTATTCTGACTTACTGTAGTATGGATCCTGTTACTCAGTGGAGGCTCGATTGAACACGGAAAGAACAACCGAGCTCTGTTTTATCCTGCTCTCGGTCACTCGGGCCCTAGGAGTGACCTGCCCTGCCCCCCAGGACTGTCTATGCATTCACGGTGTTTCTGATTTACAGCAGTTTTGAAAGCACACCCGGTGCCACAAGTTGTCTATTATTTTTAGAAGATGAAACCCAGCTAGCAAAGCTGACCGTCAGCAGGACCTGCTGAGCCTAAGCACTGTCTTTTCATCTTCACCAGGAACTCAGCAGCAGCATCATGTTGGAGAGAAGAGTGTGAGGGGTCCTCAGTGTCCCCAGAATGTCCAGAACAGGGTGAAGCCACCAAGTGAGATGTGTAGATGCGGATGCAGTTTGAATGTAGGGTTTAAAGCACACACACACACCAGCAAGAAGAGACAGCGAGGGGCACGTGCACAGAGGACACGCCACCACGGGGCGCCTGGCAAAGCATGGACGACAATGCTCAGTCTTGTGAGTATCCAGGGCAATGCAAGCCAGCTGACAGGAGGCACTTGTCACACGGAGTGGACGGCCAGGAATGGGTGTCTCCCATGGGGAGACTGCAGGGAAGATGTCCTGGGCTATGTCCGCAGGCTTGTACGATTTATGAGACAGGATGCACCATGACCCTGCTGGGGACACCTGACTCGATATGTTGCCAGCTGTACTTGCTGTGAAATTCTCTAGGCTTGCTGTGACTCACAGGAGTAAGGTATGATGTCTGGTGCCTGGACCACGGGGCAGCTGGACACCCACTCCAGCCTCCAGAGGAGCAGCTCACTCCTGTCTGAGTCCAAAAGAGACCTACTTACCTTTTTTAAATTTTTTTTGCAGTACCAGGGATTGAACTTGGGACTCTGCACTTGCCATGCAGGCACTTAGGCCGCTGGCCCTGAGACCCACTAGTCACCCCTCACCACCAGACACCAGGATTCCCCAGGAGCATGGTCTGCAGTCACCCCAGGCATCACCCTGCCACGTGTGCACCATGCTGTGGCATGGGAAGCATCTGGGGTTTTCAAAGGTGGGTGGAAAGTTAAGACATTACCTCAACCTTCAAGAAGCACATGTTGGGCCAGCAAGATAGCTCAGCAGCCTAAAGCACCTGATTGAGCAAGCTTAGGCAAGTGCAAGGGACCACGGTTGGATGGCTCGCACCATATGCCACACCAGCCCTACCTCCCTCCCAGGGTGGGCTGAGCAGGCCACAAAAAAAAAAAAAAAAAAAAAGAAAGCACATGTAAGCGAAAGGCAACCTGAGCTTACACTTAACTTAAAATCACAAGTATCACTGGCCTCTGTTTACAGGTCACGCGTCCGCTGGGCACAGCAGGCTGCCCACCCATGTCCGACCTTGGATGCGCCTGAACTGAGCCACTCCATCTACTCACCACCTTGGAGGTGCCCACTTTAAAGCAGGGCTGATGGATGGTCCAAGAGGAGGCATCAAACACGATTACTCTGCCTTCGTTCAGGGCGCACCATAACTTGGGGTGAGCATCCTCTACTTTCTCCGCGGGGTCAAGGTACCCTAAAGAGAAGAACAGCCATAGTGTTGGAAGGGAAACTCTGAGTGTACAGGTAGGGGTGAGGCAACATGATTCGGCCTTTACTGGGCATCTACTGAGTGCCAGTGCTGTGCTAGGTGCTGGCAATGCCAAGGAGAGCAAAATGCCCTCCTCTGCCCATGTGGAGCTTGGCGCTTTGGGAAGGGGCTGCCTGTCACAGAACCACACGGATGGACGGGACTACAACAGGGGTGGGGGGCACAAGCTGCACTGCTGAGTTAGGTCTGCAGTGAGAATTTATTCCTGAGTAGTGTTGTAGCAGAAAGGACAGGAGGACAGCACACAGGGGAGGGGCCGGGGAGACACAGGCCAGAGCAAGGGGCTTCCACCGACTCCCACGACACCTGCATGCCCAGGTCCCTTACTGCACAGCTTCACCAACGCTTGGTGGCTTCCAGTCTAGCTACTCTAAGGATGTGAAGATCCTGGGACGTTTTTCTTTCCTTTTTGTTGGTTGCTTTATTTGAGGGAAGCTCTCACTGTGTTGCCCAGGCTGGCCTCGAACTTCTGGGTACAAGCAATTCTCCTGCCTGAGCCTTCTGAGTGCTGGCGCCACAGGGCAACCACTGTGTCCTTTGTCAGTTTGGGTTTGGTTTTACAGCTATAATTTTATTGGCATTTCTTCTCTTGCTCTTGAGGCTGAGGCTTTTGTTGGCCACGGGGATGTCATTTTCATAATGTTTTCATCTACTGGCAACTTTTGAGGGTCTCATGTCCCTCTCTGGACAGGCGCCCCTAATCATTCTACTGTGAGCGAACATCCTTTCTCGTCTGTGACTTGCACTTTCGCTCTTGGAACTACTGCTTAACAATCCTCAGATTCAGTGCAGGCAACTCCATCTTCTCTTCACAGCGCTTCCGCACACTGCTCTGGGGTTCGGGCTTGGCCCGCAGTCACACGAATGCTTTGTGCACATGCACAGCCTGGCCGTTGGCTGGCTTTAGTTACCTACTTCTCACAGGTAGATTTCTACGCCCTTGGAACGGAGGCAGGCTGAGGTGGATCAGCGCTCATCTCACGTGGAGACACAGCATTACCCCCACGTGTGGTCAGACTGCCCTCAGCCCCACCTGCCCAGCAGAGCCAGCTCTGTCCTTGATCAAAGGCCACAGGCCGCCTGGGGACATCTGTTCCATTGCCCCTTGGTCCATACGGCAGGGGATCCACTGCATGTTCTTCCCACCCATCCAAGCCTGAGCCCATCTAAGGCCTACAAGCTTGATTCTTCCAACACCTTCTGTAGCCCCTGGAGTCCCAACCTGAGCTAGTGGGCTTGCAGGAACTGCCTGTCTTGGTGGTCCCAAGCCCAGCTTCTGTGCCATGCGACCCTGCAGGCTAGAAAAACTCTGTTCCACATCAGCTTTCAGTCCCCAGAAGTGGCAGCCAGGCCACAGGGACAGCAGCTTCCTAGTCTTCCCCTCCCCCTGGCCTTTATGTGGACACAGCAGAGGCAGAGAGAGCAGGGTCTGGGGACTTTCCCCTCACGGCAGGAAACCCAGGGTCTGGTCAGCCCTACAGGAAACAGGCTTGGATCTGCTGTGTACAGCATCTAATGAGGCCATCACACAGCCTTGGCTATGCCAGCCCACAGTGTGAGGGGACAGGACCCCTCTTAAGAGGGGCTCCGCCACACAGCCTATATTGGCCTGCTCGTGCTGGTCAGACTCCTCAGTGGGGTCACCACACCCACTGTGATGGGCACCACCCAAGTACAACGAAGACGCTCCCTGTTCATTCTGTGCACTCGGGGGCCTGGCCGGGGCACCCACCTGACTGGGTCAGGGACACAGCCTATATCCCATTCCTGTCACAATAAACAGCTGGGGCACCATGTCCTCAGCACAGGAGCAGGAACACGCGCAGCAACTCCCGAGGCAGATGATGTGCACCAAGGGCCTCATTACTGCTACAGAGGGAAGGACGCTCACACGGGGCTGGGAGGAAAGCTCCGCGGGACCCCTTCCACCTCCCCGGGCTCGCCAGCTGCAAGGCACCAGTGCCAAGGATGGTAGTGGCCACAGCAGTGCCAATTCTCTCCCCAGATTTTACTCAGGAGCAGAAAACACCGTGTTTCTACCACAGTGCTGCCTCCTCTCTTAGGGCTGACCTCAAACCCAAGCCTAGATTATCAGGCTAAATAGCAGCAAAAAGCAGTAAGACAGCTGGTTACCTGGTGTGTACAGCAAGACGTCAATGGCTTGCGGGCCCGTCTCCCCCGCCGAAGGGTTGATTTTGTGTTTGAGTGTCTCTGAGGTCGTCTTGGGGACAGCCATGGGCACTGGAATACAAGCCCAAGGGTTAGTTCCCCAGACACAAGGCAGTGATGTTACAAACAGCCTCACACACACTGCTGCCCTCAGATGAAGAGTTCTGGGGTAAAACTGCACGATTCCTGCCAAGGAAGTCAGCTGAACCCAGGACTCCTCAGGATGCCTCTCTCTGGCTTCCCCGGCTGTGTAAAACAGGAGGACAGGCCTGGATCAAGTCCTACCACCGCTCCCTCGGCTTGGGGGCCACTTACCTACTCTCTAGCTGCACCCACCTACTAGAGCCTGCTGAACAGAGATGGGTTACACACTCCTCCACAGCAAAATGTTCCCAGGTGAAAGGGAGAATGTCTGCTACTGTGGGCTGTCCTGTACACACTGCACGCTGTCATCACTCCCAGGCGCCAGGCTAGCCCTACATACACATACAAGTATACCCCACACATCTCCCAAGGGACAGAGTACAATCGGTTCCCATAAGACCCACTGTCCAGGAGGGTCCTAACCGCTTGTCATTCTGCTGCACAATCCACTGAGGTTCTAGAGGAGCCTGTGACTGCCTCTGAGGGGCTCCCGGGATGGCCCTCTGGGCTATGAGCCCTAGCTGCTGGCTCTCTGGGAGACCTCAGCAGCCTCCGTCACCCACTGGCCACAGAGCGACTGCAGCCTTGGTGGGGGCTGGGCAGGTGCTCCCCAACTGCTGCTCTCCCTTCTGTTTGAGACAGAGTCCCACTATGCCCCTAGATTGCCCAGGCCAGGTTCTAACTCATACCCTCCTGCTTCAGCCTCCCAGAGTGCTAGGGTTACAGGCACGAGCCACCACTTCCAGCTTCCTCTGTATATTATTACACCCCATAACAATCTGAAGAAGCGGATGCTATTATCACCCATGAGAGAGAAAAAAAAAAAAAAAGGCAAAAAGCTGAAATGTGCAGACATTAGTTGAACTACTGAAGATCGCAAGGACCTCAGCCTGGGCTGCCTGCTCTGGCCTCCTTGCCTGAGTTATCATCATGCCTTGGACGTCCTCAGACCCCTCTTTGTGAGCTCACCACAAGCTACACAGTTGGGCTCGGGACTATGCATCCTTATCTCATGAAGCTCTACATATTGGAAAATGTTTCTCGGGGATCAGGAATTCAGACGGGTTTCACGACCTGAGTTTGTTTGTTTGCTTGTTGGTTTAATCTACTTGGCACAGGGTCTCACTATGCAGCTCCAACTCATAGGGATCCTCCCGTTTTCAGTCTCCCCAGTGCTGGGTTTACAGGCGTGCGTCACAACGCCTGGTCTAGGTCAGAGCACCAGGGGCAGCGCCAGTACTCCATGTGGTGCCGGGGATCGAACCCCAATCCCTGTGCTTGCCTAAGCAGGCACTTAGTCTGCTGAGTCTGCTGAGCTACCTCACCAGCCCCATGACCTGAGTTTAGTCGGTCCTCCCTTTGCCACAGGATGCAAGGTGGGCAATAGCTGAGCGTGAGCTGTCTGTGCCAGATGCTCCCCAGGGACTGTGTAAACTGTGAGGAGGCTGTTCCATAAAGTTCGGGGAAGGGACAGCCACAAGTCTGGGACCATATAACAGCTAAAGCATGGTGTTTGGTTGATTTTGTTTCTAAGGAACAAAGAGAGCAAACACTGTCTGGCTGTAAGGCAAAGGGCCTTCGAGCTGCTGCAGCAGGTTGCGTGGTGACACGCAGGCTCCTGAGTTTTCTGGCTGCTGCACCTGGGTTAGTGTCCCAGGTTAGTGTCCCCTGGGTTATATGAGAGGAGTTGATAACCAGAAAACATCAGGGATCCCTCAGTCCATGACAGATGTCACAAAGAGGGAAAAATATTCCAAAGCAAATAAGCACATAACTGGGGTTTGTTTTTATAATTTTGAGAGAGCAATTTTATAATCCAGCACCTCCTCACTGTCTATCCATGAGAAACAAAAACAAATGTCCTCACACGAAGGTGTACACAAATGGTCACAGCAGCATCGTTCACAATAGGCAACAAGTAGACACAACTCAACTCTTCATTAACTGGTGAATGGAGAGAAAGGGTACTGTGTCCAAACAATGCAACTTTATTCAGCCACAGAAAGGGGCGAAGTACGGATGCTGGCTGCGGCGTGGATGAACTGTGGAAGCACTTTGCTGCATGAAAGGAGCCAGTGACAAAAGGACAAGTACTATCGGGTTCCATGTATAGTAAATGCCTAAAACAGACAAATCTGTAGTGACCGAAAGTAAGTCACTCACTGCTCATGGGAGGCAGATACAAAAAGGACAACATCTAAAATCTGCTATGAAATGGTCTCGGGACTGTGGATATTCTGGAAAGCACTAAGCTGCATGCTTTCAAAGATACATTATAGTCAATTTAAAAAATTCCAACAAAACACACACAAGCAAAACTAGATGCCCTCTGCAAGAAATTCCTCCTGGGTTACCCTGTTTCATACACTATTTATTTATTTATTTATTTATTTATCTATTTATTTATTTATTTAGCAGTACTGGGGATTGAACTCAGGATCTTGTGCTTGCCAGGCAAGCACTTATTCTACTGAGCTATCTCTCCAGCCCCTATTTCTTTTCTCTGCCTTTTCTTGCTTGCTTGCTTGCTTGCTTCCTTCCTTCCTTCCTTCCTTCCTTCCTTCCTTCCTTTTCTTTCTTTCTTTGTACTGGGAATCAAACTCAGGACCTCACATCTGCCAGGCAGGTGCTGTGCCACTGAACTATATCCCCAACCCCATAAACTAAATTTATACTGTTGGCTTAACACATTAATAGTAACAGGTCATCTTCAATATATTTCCTACATTTTTATGCAGATCACAAGACAGTTGGTTGTAAGAGATCATTTAGAATTGGAAACAAACAGAATAGAAGCAGCTAAAATGATGTGTGATGTCCTTTTTACCTCTATCCTCCTAGGCTGAAAATCATCTAAAAAACATACCTGAGCCTGTCACTCATCTATGTATGGCTTCCAGAAAGCGATGGCCAGATAGAAATGCACAAGAAGGAGACTGGAGAATTCCTGTCGAGGGAAGCTGACCAAATCAAGAAAATACAAACTGACATTCGTCATCCTGATAACCCCATGCAGTGGTAAAGTCCACCAGTGGCTTCCCGTGGGCATGTTTTGGACTGGGAGATCAACACAGCACTCCGAGATGCCATGACCCATTTAGTAACCTTGCATGGGCTTCGATCCTGCTTGCACCGGCCAGAGGACATTCTGCCGTCTGCAACCAAGCAGCACAACAGGCCCCTTACAACGTGACACCTCTTACCAGTGCTCCGCATGCGGGCAAATTACAAGACACCTCAGTGCGTCCTTACATGCAAAAACCTCTGAGGCCTGCTGTTAGTGAAGAAGGGAAGCAGAGATCCCTGCGTGGGACACGGAAAAAAATTAGAGGGTGTAAGAGAAAAGCAAGATGGAGCGACAGAAGAGGGAAGGGAGAAGGCAGGATGGAAAGAGTAATTAGGAGTGTCACATATGTGTACCAAGGCCCGTAAGGAATGTAAAATTATGTCCTGAAAATATGTGCTAATAATATTGTTTTTTAAGAGAGAACAGCAAGCAAGGGATTCCACTCTGTTCTAGTGGACAAATCAAACATCGAACAGAGAGAATCACTTAGGAGAAATATTGAGACACTGCTGTGTGAAACTGGAGCTTGTCTTACTTTCATTTTTCATCTTATCAAAGTAAGACAACTTGGAAGCAGCATAGATGGCTCCTGGGGACTGCAGCGTGCCGACCACGGCATCCATCAGTAAGACGTTGGTCAGTGCCTGCTGGACGTACTGTGGGTCCTACAAGAAAGACAGCCCCATGTCAATACGCAGGACTCACCAAAGGTCACCTCACTGGGAGACCTAGCCACCTCACAGGAATTAGGACTTTGAAAAGTACATTTTCTTCTAGCAATGAGAAGAGTTTGAATGAAGGATGAATTCGCAGTTTGTGTCATCGTTTTTTCCTCCTGATGCTTTACTTCAGGGCCAGCAAACTTCCCACGAGGGGCCAGGCAGCCAGCATTCCGGACCTCAGGGGCCACACCACTGCTGCCGCCGCCACCACTTCCGCTCAGCTCTGCCAGCAGCACAAAGCAGGGGCAGGCAAAACTGTTATGCAAAACAATCCTGCAGCCCACCCGCTGTAGATTGACTACACTGGTTTATGCTAAATAGGTAATGCAGGAGGTGGAAAGCCAAGCTCTAGTCCAAACATCACACAATACCGGAAGCCTGGGAAGCCCTTGGCTCCCCCTCCAGTGACTACAGAGGCCTTGACGCTGATTCTGTTTCTCCCATGTCAGCCCCCACGGTGGGTGCCATCTCCACCTGCACTTCTCCTCGGCCTAGGGGGCGCCACTTAGCTCCAGGATTCGGCGAGCTCTTCCTTTTGCGCTCATCCCTGCCCATGGCCCTTCCCGTTTGTTGACAGGCTTCCTGCCACAGCTTTCCAGCTACACAACACCAACATCTTTCCCCGGGCTCACACCTGCCCCTGCCACCTTCATCACCATGAACCGTGAACTCGTCACTCAGGGTAATCAAAGCCATCAGCCTGGCCCACAATAAGGCATGAAAGTACAAAACTCCTGACAGTATAAACTTAACCCTACAGAGGAAATTCAGTGCCTCCCCTTGCAAACCCTAATCCAGCAACGCTGGAGGGTAGAATCCCTCAGAGCCCAAAACAACCAATAAGACCCAACAGAGCAGCAAGGTCAGCAGTGTCCAGGCCCGGTGGAGGGGACGAGGCCCTCCTGATCAGCCCACCCTATGGGATCCTATGCTTCCACCCACAGCACTGCCATATGCTAGGAGGCCTCTTGCTGGGTTGCAGAACACTCCAGAGAACCAGAGCTTAGCCCAGGGCCCTGACAGCAGTGCACTCGCGTGACACCCGGGCTGGTCACAGGAGGAAGGGGGCACTGACCTTGTGGTCATCGGCCAGCTTCTTTCCAGCCCACATCTCCTTGACCATGAGGTGCCAGAGGTCACACTCAGATTTCAGGTTGGCCTCGAAGACCTCTTTCTTGGACATCATTTTAATTTTCAAGGTGGGTATTCTCAGGAGGAGAAAAGCGACCGTGGTGCTTCTGACTTCCTGCACAGGCAGAAACAGCAGCGACATCAGAGCAAGCACTCAAAGAGCACTGGGTCACTGGGGACAGGGCACAGCCCATCCTGGAGAGGGCCTTGCCAAAGGAAGAGAAGACAAGAAAAAGGTGTGAGATACAGTGGTTTCTGGTCGTCCCAGAGGCAGGGTGCAGCTCACGCTGCAATACCAGCACCCTGAGCTTCTCCTACGGTCTCAGATGGAAGTCACTGCCTGGCTTCGCACTGCTCCATCCCCACAGCACACACGTGGGCTGCGCTATAGACAAGCACACACTGCTCCAAACACAGCCCCCAAGCCGCCCCATCCCCATGAGCAGCCTGACACTTTGCAGGTGTACGAACTGAGATGCAGGTGGCAAGAGTCTGTGTGCAAGTGGCCCTGCTGGAAGAGCGTGTGGCTGTCCTCACTCGTCCAGAGCAGAGCTGACTCCTGCCTGGCAGGCAGGGCTCCCAGACCTCACCTCTATATTCCTAAAGGTGGAGATCTCCACATAGCCCGGCCTCCCCTCAGTCAGCAGGAACAGGCGCTTCTGGGTCATGGCGATCTTGCCGACGCCACGGTTGGTCTTGACAGAGCTTGACAGCTTGTAGACACACTCATTTTTATCCAGATGCTCCACCACCAGGGACGGCAGACTGACCTCCTGGGCCTGGGCTTCTGTCTCCTTCCAGCAGTTGTAGAAATCTCTGAATGTTTCTGGGTCAATCAATTTCTGCTGTCCTGAGTTTCACAGAAAAAAAAAAAAAAAAAAGAGAGAGAGAGAGATTTCTTATAGCTGAAGGAGGCGGGACTTTGCATCACCTTCAGAAACAGTGTGTTACCCAAACCAGGCACCAGGTGGCACCAGGAGACACGAGGATTCAGACCTTTCTGTATGGCGCCTTCTCAGGGGCTTCCCGGGGAGCAAGCCACGCGCTGTGTCCAGGTGGAGCTCATGACCTGGCCATAGGCCCCCTGCCTTTCTAGCTACCTAGAGATCGGCTGTGTGCCCTACTGCAGGTGGTCACAGCAACTCTTAGAGCTCAGGGTGGGACTACTGAGACCATCCAAGACACACTATTTGTGGTATGCAGGCATTTTCACTACTAGAACTGGGGGCCCCCAGCCAGGGACAATTAGGGGAGCTAGTCCTGAAATGAAGCTAATGCTGAAGACACCAGATCCTTGGGGACACCTTACACCACTGTGCTGCAGACCGATGCCAAGTAGCTCTGAGCAGGATTTATATTAACCAGTTGGCTTTGTGTGTTCATGTGAGTTTGCCCAAGGCGTAGTCTGGATATGGGCAATGGACTCACAGTAAGTGAACCTCTGTGAGTTGCTGGTCCCCACTGAGGCCTGTACTGACCTGCAAAGGTGGGACACCTCAAAAGACAAGAGAAGGCCACAGCTGAGGATGTACGGCCTTGACCCCAATTAAATAAAAGGAGACTGCAGCTGCAGGCTCCATACTCCTACAATAAATGCCAACCTGGTTCTCCATGTCGCGCTAGCCCCGCCCCCGTGGCACATGAGCCAGCAACTGAGGCCAGGTGTTGCAGTGCACGCCTGTAATCCCAGCAGTGGGGAGGCTGAAAGCAGGAGGATCCCTATGAGTCCAAGCTGCGTAGTGAGACCCTGTGCCAAATACATAAGTGAAAAGAAATAAATAAATAAATGCCAACCTAAAGACAAGGTAGTTCTCCTGACAGACATAATCTACTACTTGGTCCCACTAGATTCCCACATTTTCTTCAGTATCCCCTTCCTTTGTTTGAAAAACCGAATAAATGCTAGCTGCCCAGACAAGTCCCTTGTCAGAACCCAGAGAATCTCAAAAGCTGTGAGAAGGTTTTTGAACCTCCTGGAGCCCTAAAATCATACTACCTGTCTCTTTAAGCCTTCGCCATCCCCTCATTTGGGAGATTGTGCACCTGATCAGTCCACAATAACTAAGGGGTATTATTAATTTGATACCCCTGGATCAAGCCTTGCCTGAAACTAGCCCTACCTTGGTGCTCCTCGGTTGTAAGCAAATAAGGTGTTTGCTTTTAGCCAAGGATGCAATCATCCGTCCATAAGTCCAACCTTCTTGAGTCAGAGACCCAAGAAGTCCTGAAGTCCACTTCACCCCCGTTCCTTACGAGAGAACCTGCCTCCGTATCTCTAAAAGGGAGATGGACCCTACCCTCGCAGCTGTTAACAAGCCTACCCCACCAAGTCCCGGATGTTTCCCTGCCTCTGCACCTGTCTAGGCTTGGTCTTGCCTTCACGATGTCTCCGGGACTATCACACCTCTCTGGCCCTGACCTGTAGCCAGCCCCACTGTCCTGTGCAGGGAGATGCTTAATGTTCTCACCCTCAGACACACAAAATGGTTTTTCCAAAATGCAAGGAGCAGCTCACACTCCCTCATGCAGACATTCCAGGGCTGTCCATCCATACCACCCCCAAATCATCTAGGAGCAGGTCCCTCCTCCTCTTTACACCCCATTTTGAGATACACCAAGTATGTCCCCAAAGAGGCCATATTGTTATGTGCCTATGCATATGTTCATCTTGACTGCTAAGACCAGAAAACTCCTACTGACTCCTCAACACCCAGGTGAGTCCCCAGATGCAGGTCATCCTGCTGGGTGATGCTAAGCTGTGCACACATAGGCCCCGTGGCACCACCGCATTCAACCACAGTGTACTAAGAATGGTGCACCATGCTCTACCGAGCAGCCCACAACCTCATCACCACCATCAAGATAAGCATGATCATCAGACTCTTGCGCAGACTGGAGAACTGAGGCATAGGAAGAAAGACCCTTGCCCACAGAGCTGGGCCCTGAGGCCACAGCCAGACTCTGAACAGGCTGAGCTGCCACCTGTGTCAGTGGGTCTGACCTCCCTGCTGGTCCTGCCCTGTGTTAGTCTTCCTGTCCTTAGCCTACTAGAGGCCTTGATCTGAGATGACTGAAGCCCCAGCTGGGCCATGTTCCCACTCTGATAGCATAACAAGGTACAGTATATGGTGGTACACATCTGTAATCCCAGCTATTCAAGAGACTGAGACAGGAGAATCTCAAGTTCAAGGTCAGTGCGGGCAACCTAGACCTTGTCTCAAAATAAAAACCAAAAAGGACTGAAGATGTGTCTAGGTGGTAAAGCTCTTGTCAAGCATGTGCAAGGCCCTAGGCTTGATCCTAGGGCCAGTAACAAAAATGGCCAGTAGATAAATACAATAACAAGCCGTCTGTGGTGACTTATCTCCGGGCATTTCATTAGCATCACGGGTTGGGACCAAGTCACTGCCTCAGCAATCTATGAGGGATGGGTGCTGAAACAGGCTTACAAGGAAACTTCCCGACTTTTACAACTTGCTCCCAAACAATGGCAGCTGAGAGTGCAGGATCAGGGTGGACAGGAAGGTCCCACAGGACACCAAACCTCGTGCAGGGGCCAGCTTTTCAATGCCGGACTCTCCACTAGGTGGCGCCAATTTGAGTTACAGTAGTTCTGTTTCTGTTCTTCGTGGTTTACATGCTTTAACACCGGTTGAGTATAGAGTGCAGCCCTTTGCTATTTCGTGCTTTGACTTTCACAGACTCACTGTTTCATGTGTTTTCAAAAAATTCATCTAAATTATCGCAGATTTGTCGCTATATCGTGGGATTTTGCAGTACCATACAGTATATGTATGTTGTTAAAATTACGCAGGTTTACGAGTTTTAAAAATGGTTAAGAACATTAGAAGTGTTTTTAAAAAGTGCATGAAAGGTTTAAAAGAGTGTGGGAAGGGTTTATAAAGCCTTAAGGTATATATATAAATACTAAAATAAATACAAAGTCACTACTTGCTGATTTTCACTTATCGTGGGGGTGTCTGGAACGTCACCTCCAGGTTAAGCGAAGAACCACTGTACTCACTATTTTAAAAAGTGTCAAAGTCACTGAATCCAACCAGAACCCTAAGCATAACTATGTACTTGTGTGATATATGCAAGAGCAGTTGGTGATGAAGACCAAGAGCAGAGGGCTGGGTGCACCCTGAGGTCAGTGAAGTCCCCGCACTGCGCAGTGAGGTCTGCAAGGCCACCAAGGGCACGAGGGTCATTCCTGGCTCCATGAAATGTCTGGCTGCACACACCTGCTGGCCACCAACACAAGGGGAACCTTCTTTCAGGGCCTAGACACCCTGTCCCCTGCATCACCCTCGGCTAGGCTGTTTGCACTTCCTAACGGGGGTGACTGGGTCTGAGACAAGCGTTAAGTTGCTCAGCAAGAAGATGTCCAAGAAACCAGAGCGCAAAAGGGCACCATGACAGCAGGTGAGGCCGCCACACATGAGAGTCAGAGCCAAGAACCCAGCCAGGAGCGGGAGACCAGGGTCCTGCAAGATGGCTCTCAGGACAGACCCTCTCGGTACCTGGGCCACACCAAATACAGCACATCTCCAGAACTCAAGATGGCATCCTGACCAGACAGATGTCAACCAAGATTTGACATGAGGGCTCATGGCTCTCAGCAGAGAGCCCCTCCCAGGCAGAAGCTATGAGACAAAGAACACCCAACTGTATGAGAAGCTGCAACCACTGGCAGTGCGCTAGCACCCATGGCTGTCACAATACCCAGGAACCAGAACCAGGCAGCGTGTGCACATGGCCACGGTGCCCACCACTGCTGTGAGCACCTGCAGCCACCGTGCCACAAGAGACACCGTGCAGCTCCACAGTCTTTGTGCACGCCCACGGACACTGCACAGGGACACTATGGCACCATCCAACGTACAGCAACTGTCAGGTGCACGGATGCTGCACATGCCCACGGAGACAGAATGCCCACCACCCTATGTCCCCTCTATCCCGTCACTCACCGGCCTCCAGCACACCCTCCAGTTCATCCCAGTGGCACACAGGTGACATCCCTCTCTGAGCTGGCCACAGACACCCTGCTCCACACAGTCACGTGGAGGCAGCACACACAGTGCCCCACAGAGAGCCATGGCATGGGAATACTGGGGCAGACTGTTAACTTTCATTGTTCATTATATCGATTAATAGCTTATATAGCTTACATAGTATATTGATTATATAGCTTACATACTGATCCTGCATTTGCATTTGACCATAAAAATGCATACTGCATTATCACATCTCGTAAGTGCATTCTGAAGTGGAGCCACCCGCTCTGACGCTGTTGGTCCTCGACGCATGCAGCCGCTCGGCCTCAGTACACGCACGCTGCTACCCTACACTCACTAGTGACTCTGGGCTCCTGGGCCCTAGGACCAAGGGCATTGCCCAACCTATCCTGCCACTGATAAGGCCAGAGCGTCCACAGAAGCAGCAGGGCCACTGAAGGCCCCCAGTCACTGCTAGGATGGCCAGTTTCCTCTTGCCCACACACCAGCTACGAGCTCCCTGCAGGGCTCCCTTGTGGCTGAGTGACCACGTGACACGATGCTGCCCAACAGGGGAAGAAGCAGAAATGCCGAAAAGACACACAGGCCCTCCTCCTCCTCCTGTCAGATCCAAGTCATCCTGTGACCACGGATGATGAGGCTAGGACAGAGAAGCAGAGGAGATGGAGGCGTCCCTGATGACACCCACAGAGGGCCCGAGGCATGCTCTTGTGCTGGCAGGACAGGACAATCGCCCGGTGAGCCTCAGCCACTGCACATCAGGCAACCACACAGCATCGTGTCCCCCTGTGGCCACACAGGGAAGGGGGCAGACCTTCCCCTAAGCACCCAGGGCCACACAGGTTGCCACGCTCTGCTCAGGTCCCTTGCATAATACAACAGTGAGGGATCTGCATGTGATCCACACAGCCTCCTGTACACTGCAGGAGGTAACCAGGTGACTTCAATTCCTGATAGAGCACACGCCACGGCAACTACTGTACTGGTTAGGGAATAATGAGAAAAAAAATCTGTGCATGTTCAGTACAGACAGTTCTCTGAATATTTTCAGTCCTCAGAAGGAAGACAGATAAGAGGCCTCGAGAGATGGTACTTGACTGGGGCCACTGCATCAGACCGACTAGCGGGGGCCAGCAGATGTGAGATCTGCCTGGTTCCCAGTGGGAGGAGCATGCACACGTCGGCTGGGCTGTCTCAAGAGGTGCCCAGACACAGATCAGCACAGGCAGGCTCTGCAGTGTCAGCTCAGGATCAAGGAGAGATACTCAAAGGAGCCTAGGCTTCCAGTGCAGAGTGAAGCAGAACTGCCCACACTTGCACTGGGGACAGGAAGGGGACCCCTCAGTGTCATGTGGGAAAGCAAAGCCCTTGGATGCCTCCCCATGGTCTGGAGTGAAACAAGCTACACTGCCCATGTGGCAACACCACCAGTGCCCAGGAGGATAAACCAGATCCATGCAAACGCAGGTAACTCTGCAACACACGGGGAATAAGACAGGGGTACTCACAGGACAGAGCCTATGACTGCGTCATGGGCCATGTAAGCGTGAAGGCTATGCCTCAGCTCTGAGTACACTCTCCTGCAGTCAGAAAGGAGAGCTCATGCTGGAGACAGCAGCTCCCTTGGAGAAGAAGGTACATGGCCAACTGGGCCTACACAACAGGCCCCTGCAGGGAAGGTAGGCCTTCTCAAACCGGGCACCCCTCTGTGATCTCTGTGCTCCCAGGGCTACCTAGATAAGGCCATTCGTAGGGTGAGGAGAACATCCGGAGGTACAGTCTCCCTGTCCCCCGTCACAGGCCCAGGGCCCCCCTTCCCTGCAGGATCCCAGCCCAGAAGCCCAGCCCAGGTGAGCTTGAGATGGAGCGATAGAAGAGTACTGATGGCACCGTCACCCCACCAGTCCTGGGCTACACTCAGAATGCCAGCAAAGACTGTCAGCCCTCACCCAGTACCTGCCAGTGCGTGGCCTACTGCTAGCACAGTCTTTTGGGAACCACTGCTCTCCTTCTACGCCTCCAGGTATGGGGGCACAGGGTCAGGTTTCAGAATCCCTGCAGATACCAAAATCTGCACACATTCAAGTTTTCGTTGTTGTTGTTGTTTTTTCTTTTTATTTATGTATTTGGTACAGGGTCTCACTGAGCAGCTCAGACTCAGTGATCCTCCTACTTTCAGCCTCCCCAGCGCTGGTATTACAGGCCTGCACCACCACACCTGGACTTGGTCACCAGCTCAACACACCCCAGGGGTACGGCCAGTGTGGCATGCAGGATGGGGGATCAAACCCTGTGCTTGCCAAAGCAGGCGCCTAGTCCACTGAGCTATCTTGCTGGCCCTTTATTTTTTTAAATAAAATGATATAGCATTTGCATCTGACCTGTGAATTGTTGGGAGCTGCAGGGAAACTGATCAAATGTGTGGACATGAGACTAAGCCTCAGTGCCTCATGCAAACAAGCTACCTCAGTCCTGAGATAAATATCCTGTCTGCTTAAGGTCGGCTATTAGTCGCTAGGCAACCTTGTGTCACATGTTACTAACTTTTCAAAAACATACAACAAGGATCATTTTGTTGTGCGGTCGGTTAGTCTTGCCCATCAGGCAGACCAGCTACTACCTAGCCCAGCTTTTTTCTTCTTGTCCATCTTTCTCATTCCCGCCACCATTTCTTACCAGGCAGACCTGATCGCAGGGAGACCAACGGATCCCTTCAGTGCATGTCCTCCCATAGACCTTGATTCACCTCTCAAAGACTTAACTAGCACAAGCCAGGTGTGGTGGTGCATGCCTGTGATCCCAGCTACCTGGGAGGCTGAGGCAGGACGATTACAAGTTCGAGCTCCACCAAGGCAACTTATCAATTTATCAAACCTTGTCTCAAAAACTTCTTAAAAGGCTAGAGACAGCTCACTGAGGAGGACCTCGGCTTAATTCCCCGTACAGGAAACACACACATACAAATATGATACAGATATTATGGAAACTCATACTGCATTGTCTAGGCAATAACAGCAAGAAAACGGGTCTCTGCATGTTCAAATCAAACAAAAAAAAACCCCAAACAATCCTCACTGGGTTAAACCTGTGGACACAGGGCTTGTGGGTACCAGGGCAGCTGTGTTTAAACAGGATGCTGTTGCATGTGGCCTCTTACCTACAGTCAGTGCATCGAACAGCCGGTGTATGATGTTGGTGTCCTTGACAATCCCCGATTCCTGAACCCTTTTTACGAAGTCTTCCAGCTGCATATGCTTCTTGGGCAGCTCAAAGTGCTTCACAGCGTCGTCTGCCTTGGTGGCCTCTCCTGGCTTGTCCAGGACCTCAGTGATGAGTCTCCTCAGTTCAGGCGTCTGCTCAGCCTGGGTGCGCTCAGGAGCCGACATAGATTCCACAGTGCCCTTGACAAGGTCAGTAGGGAAAATCCGGATGTCCGTCTTGTACAGGTTCTGGAAATCTGAGAGGGCACTCAGCAGCTGCCCCTGCATCAGGTGGACGAGGCCACGCAGGTAGAAGTACCTGGCCAGGAGCAGGGAGTTGTCAGGGCCCAGGAGGCTCATGGCCTTGCTCAGCAGGGTGACAAAGTTGGCGTGATATGCCTGTATGCACTGGCTCACCAGCGGGAAGTGGATTTCGGGAATCTTGAATGTATACGTGGACTTAGGGGCCACATTCAGAACTAAACAAATTAAGGGGAAATAAGCCGATAATTAGCACAGACCTTCAAAATGGACATGTGTGCCTGTCCCAGGAACACACGGGGCCAGGACACAGTGCAAAGCAAGAACCAGTGTGGCCCTTCCAGAAAGGGACTTCCAGAAAGTTCTGTGTACCCAGAGCCCACAACACCTGGCATTCCTTGAACAATTTTATTTGCTAAAACTTCATACTACATTAAAACAGTGCTGGGGCTCTGAGCATTAAACTAATGCAGTAAGTCAAGATGTGCTTGCCTAGAAGTTAAGCCTTTTAAAATAACTGTTTTGTGCTCACTTTGGCAGCACATATAACTTAATTGTTTTATTATCATAATAGCCCTGGGAGGTATTACTGTGGTGCCCATCTGGCAGGATGGGAAGTGAGGCCTCCGTAGGCTGGGTTATCTGTCTCAGCTACTGGCTCACAGCCACAGTTGAAACCAGGGGCGTCTCTCCTGCTAATTCCTTCAACAAATGGGACTCAAGGGGCTCCAGCGGCTAAGCACCGACAGGTCCACCAGAAAAAGCAGATGACAACCTGGTTACCCACAGGCCAGCTCTACTCATAGAAGATGACAGGTGAGGTCTTAGCCAAGACCTAGAGAAGGGAGCAGGGGCGCAGAGCACATGGCTGGGGGTTAAAGGCAAAGAAAGCAGTGTGTCCTGAGAGCAGGAGGCACACAGTATCTGCTCAGCGCAGGAGATGAACTGCAGGCCCGGAGAGCAGAGACTTGCTCTGAGCCACACAGCCAGGAGTGGCTGTGCAGAAGACTCAGACCCCGCGGTCGGTCTCCCGACTCCTGCTCTGAACTGAGTCTCAGTGATGGGAGAATGGTGCTTCCTTTTCATTTATCTGCACTGCCCCTCTGGGCTCACAGCACGTACTGCCGGTACATCCTTCTCCGGGTAATGTTCAGTACATGCTGCTCAGCTAAGACAGTGGCTACCAAGGGCCCGTGTGTGTGACAGTCACTCCCATCTGCAGAAGACAGGCCATGCCTTCCCAAACCACTGAGGTGTAAGCAGCTCAGCCTCTGCCCAAGAGGTCACTTCCACAGCCATGCCCCTGCCCCACAGGCTCGGCCTCAGCCCCCACTGGGAAGCTATGCCTCCGCCTTTGATGACCAGCTGCCAGCAGGCAGGCACGGGCTCCTCCGTACCTGTCCTCTAGACAGTACCTGCCTGGCACTCAGCAGGGCCCAGCAGCTGCTGCACCACACTGCACATCACACATGTGCATGTATCTTACACATGCGCACACAGAGCAACACCAACCTGCGTAGCTGTTACCCTCAGCACTGACGCTACGTGGCGGGGAATGCTTCTCCATATGTTCTAGACATATTTCAAATAATTAAGCTGCTAACCAGCAAAACAAACCCTCTCCCTCCCTTGCACACAAGCTGTGGTCCTCCATTGGCTTGGGCCAGCCCAGCCCAGCCCAGCAGGAAGCACAGCTTGCTCACCTGGGCTGCTGTCCCTGCATCCTGTGGTGTCCATGATGCGGAGCGAGGAGTTCCTGGCCGGCAGCTCAGGCAGGGTGATGTCCTGCAGGCTGGGCATACTGACCACCATGCGCCTGTGGGTGATGTTCAGAGGCGAGGACTTCCTTAATGCCATCTTCTCCACTGTTGGCCTCCTGGGACTTATAAGCATCCCACTGATTCTGAGGTTAAAAAAAAGCAGCGCTTTACTTTATAGCAGCAAAAATGCATGAGGAGTAAGCATCCTGGTGGCATCACTTCCAGAGTGGGGAGCAGTAATACGGGGCAGCCCTGCCCATACTCACTCTGCTACCTAAACCTGGCTAGGGCTGCAGGCAGGGGAGATGGCACATCAGTGGGCCCAGGATAGCCCAGGGTCCAAGAAATACACAGGGCATCATGCAGGTTTTACGGGTGTTCCAGAGGTCAGGAAAAACCTCAGGAAGGGTGGAAGAATGGAGTAGATCTGAGGGTGGACAATGTGGACAGAGGCCAGGCAGAGTACAGGCACATTAAGCTGGGAATGCTTGGGGCACTTCCTAAAGAACAGAGACACATGGAGAGGAGCTTGTTACCAACTTGCTGAAAATTTCTAAATGTTGGGGTTTTCCTATTGACTCTATTGCTTTTCTGCCCAAATAAAGTCATGACACCTGAGCACTTTGGCCACCAGAGTTATGTGAGAAAGCCAAGGAAGAGCACCTGTCCTCCTCAGACTGGGTGTCCAGGTCCATCTGCGCGTAGGCATCCATCCTGCGGCTGAGCCGGGCTTTCAGGAAAGAGTGGAACATGTAGGTGTCCAAAACCTGCGGGAGATGGCAAGAGGGCATTAGCCAGGCCGTTGGGTTCACTCCTCTCCCTGCTCACGGCCACAGTGTCCCCACAGGCTGAGGAGCCCACCAGCAAGAGGTCCCTACAGGCAGACAGTTTCTGTATTTGGTTCTAACCTACAAGGGGCACCCGCAGCTCTTTACCTACTGATCTGAGGTATGTAGCCACTCCGTGTTTGCAGAATCACACACTGTTCAAAAGCCCAAACCACCTGGCCTCTTGGACAGCCATGCCTGTACGTGTCCATGGCCCCACTGGCTCCAGACCTCTGTGCGTCCCCTGCAGCCCCAAGCCACAGCACAGTCTGCCTCCACTCACTGCAGCAGATACTTCCGCTGAGCTCTGGTACTCAAGGTCTTCACGGTCCTCACTATAAAAGGGACCTCTAACACTGGGGTCTTGTCTCCCCTGGATACCTTCTCTCTACTGACTGGAGCACGTGGGCGAGTGACCTACAGAAGATGAGCCTCCCCAACCCAGGCAAGAAAGAGAGGGAGAGGGTGCCCAGGAGGTCCAGAGAGACAAGCAGGATCCCAGCGTGCAGAATTGGGCAGAAGAGTGCTGGGCAGGAAGAGGCCATGCAGATGACAACATGAGCACTGCTGGCCAGCTGGGGCACCTGCCCCAGCGAGGCCCTAGATCACGAGGAGAGGCAGGAAGATCACAGGGCGGAGCAGCAGAGGGGAGGCCACAGCCCAGAAGCGGGCCCAGACACCATGCTTACGAAGCAAGGTAGGAACTCTGAGTGCCGCTCTCCAGGTCTCTAACTTTCCCCTCCATTCCCTGTAGGACAAGTGCTATGTGACAGTCATGGGGTCTGTGTGTGGCTGTGTGTGGCTCCACCATCTGTGCTGTGAGGTAGGGGACAGCAGGCTCCACAGCAGCCCCCGTGCTCCCACACTTGGGTGGCTTGGTCTCTACCACTTCACCAAGCTACTCTGTCCTCACCAAGGTCACCTTCTGAGCCACCCTGTCACAACGGTGACCTCTCTGTCTTCATTTGCAATCACTTCTATGTTCTCTCCTCTCTTGCTTCCACAACACCTGCCCCAGGTGTTTCTCCTGATCCCTGGCATCCTCCTGCCTCCCTTGCTGGAATCACTCTGCCCAGCCTCCTGGCAGGCCCAGGACTGAGCTGCTCCTTTGCCTGTTCTCTTTGCTCTGCCATGACACTGGCTCCAGGTGACCATGCCAGGTTCATGGTGCTAAATGTCATGCAGGTGCCAGGGATGTCCTGTAGAACAAGCACATCCGCCCACCCAACTGCTCAGCATATGGGGCCAATACATTCAAAGTGGGTCCCCAGGAGGTGCCTTGATGCTGAAGACTTGCAAAAAATTAGTCAGAAAGGCCCAGGAAGTTGAAAATGAAGAAATTTTCCAAGCTCAGAGGGCAGGGGTGGTTCATGCTCTCAACAGAGAGAAGGGAGAGCCTGGGCCAGACCACGGGCCATGCAGAAGGACCACACATCAACGGCAGAGGGACTGTCTTATACACTGCCCAGGAAGGGATGCTCTCAGCCCACCCCAGAAGTGTCAAAATATAACCCTCAAGGACCAAGAGACTGTGCAAGTGACATGAGCCATTAAAGCTCATGATGTCACTTTCTGTAATGGACAACAGGGATTCAGAAGTTGCAAGTTCTCAAGACTCTCTCAAAATAAAAAAAATAAATAAATAAATAAAAAGAGCTGGGGATGTAGTTCAGCGAAGAGCTCTGCTTCCACCCCGGTCCCACAAAAAATGAGAGCTGAAAACACCCAAACGCTCCTTAACAGCTGGACAGAAAAGCAACGTGCTCCACCCTAACACTGGCAATTCTTTGGCATTAGCGACGGCAGCAAGCAACTGTTGAGAGAGCCCCATGATCATTCCCAAAGGTCAAGGGATGGAACCAGAGAGCCCAGAGCCGAGGTGGCACTGACATGGGACTCTGCAAGAGCCTGACCTGTTTCCAGGGCCTGGGGAGGGAGAGGGTGGCTGGGAAGAACCACAGGAAGCGCTGGGGACGATAGAAGTGTCTGATGTCCAGACTCAGGACATGGTTACACAGGTGGGCACATTTGTTTGTTTATTTATTTATTTATTTATTTATTTATTTATGTGTGTGTGTGGCCAGCTCAGCCCAGCAGGGGGCGGGGCTGGCAGGCATGTGGTGCTGGGGGATTGAACCATGGTCCCTGTGCTTTGCCAACCTTGTTCCAAGTAGGTGCTTTAGACCACTGAGCCATCTCACCAGCCCCAGGTGGGCACATTTGTCATAGTCTGTCAAATTCAATACTGAAAATAGGTGCGTGTTATTATATGCAAATTACACTCTAAAAGCTAAAGAGGAAGAGAGTGGGAAAAAAGGAATTGAGGGATAGTAGGTACGTGTTCCACAAGGAATGTAAACATTATGCACCTCAAATGCGCATTAATGAAAGAGTGATCCAAAGGATCAAAAGGAACCATGCAAAAACCAACTTTTTTGGAAAAGAAAGCACAAAATATTAACCAATCTAGCAAAAAGCTTATTGTGGAAAATGTTGAAACACAGAAAAGTAAAATAGGTTGAACACAGGCAAGACTGCCCAAGCCCACGCTGCTCACCTGTTTATAGAACCGCTGCTCCCCTGTGGCTCTTGTTTTGAGAAATTCCTCACTGTTAAACACCCTGTGTTCGTAATTCAGGTGCTTCTTCACCTCCCTGACGAAGAAAGGAAGGTCTAAGTACTGAATCACTTCCAATGGGTGAAACACATACTGCTTTTCGCAGCAGAAGAAAGAGCAAGCCTGTTCTTCAGAGAGATTATCCTCACCCCCAAAATGCAGGGTCTAGGTAGATTCTTTCTCAGCAAACTTTCCCCAGCTCGGATGGACCCCCCAGGACACAATGTCACTGGCATCTTTCTGGAGAGACCCGAGCTTTCCATACAATTAAGACTCAAAAATCAATCACTGGCTGAGAATGGTGCTAGGCTCAAGAGCAGCCCAGGAAGTAGCCACTCTCCCCAGTGCTGACCCCACTTGGCCACCAGCCTGCCCTAGACAAGTCTTTTCCTTTCTTGCACCCTATTCCCTCCGGTAATTTTAAACTCATGGGATTTTAACATATAATCTCTCATATCTAAAGCAATCTTCACCCAACAGGATCAATGACTTTACAAGGCACAGTCAACGCATGGTATGTCCAGTGTTTCCTTCCACTGTGAGGAAAAAAAAATTATCCCACCTGGGGGACATATCATTTCATAATCTGTAGTCATATTTTCTGTTTTTTAAATCAATGCAATAGTCTTCTAAAGGTGTTGTATTTTAAAAAAACAACACAACACCTTGATCATGAGACTTCAAAGAACAAAAGGAAAATATATATTCAGGAACATACAAACTACATTGCTTTGAGCAAAATGTAACATGACCTGTCTGAAATACACAATCCCATTTTTTCCTAGTAAGTCATCTACTTTATGGAAGCAAAGACAACAAAAAAAACAAGGCCATGAATGTTTCAGTTTTGAAATAATCATGCAGGGACCTGGCAAATCCGCAGCTCTATGCCAGAGGCCTGCAGGGTGGAGCAGCGCTGGCATCAGGTGCCTTGTCTGCTACGGACCCAGGCAGAAGGACGCAAGAAGGGGGAAAACAGAAGAAAGAGCTGGAGGAATGAAAAGGCCTAAAATTATCCAAGTTGAAATATATGTAATTCCTTAAATGACTGCATGTGTAGGTGAGAAACAGCACCTCAGATTTGATCCTGGGTCTCATGGAGAGAAACACTACTGGTCTACCTAACCAACTCCAGCTGTATTTCGAGGGAAGGAACAGCAAGCCAGAGTCTTCTCACAGTGGAAACTATGGAATGAAAAGAAGAAAACCTTCTGGGTGGCAAACCCGCAGTCCCCCAGGAGGCTAATTTAGGGGCTCCATTGTCTACTTTGATTGATTGATTGATTGATTGATTGATTTTGTGGTACTGAGGATTGAATTCAGGACCCTGCACTTGCCAGGTCCATTGTCTACTTTGAGTCACACAAAAAAGACTTGCCTGTCCCTTCCCCCTGGATACAGGCCTCTTGGCACAGGGTCCTCCCTGGACTGACTCAGTCCTCAGCCAGCACACACCTTTACTGACAAGCTCTCCCATGAGGTCTGTGACTGTCACTCCGGAGGCAACCTCGAAGCAGCCATCCATTCACATGGCCACTGTCGGGGCAGCACAACTAGAGGGCTGGCCAGATAGCTCAGCAGACTAAAGTGCCTGCTTAGGCAGACACAGGGGCCAGGGGTTCAATCCCTGGCCTGCCATACCAGCCCCACCCCCCACTGAGGGTAGTAAATGAGACTGGGCATGGTGGTATGTGCCTGTAATCCCAGTGCCTGGGAGGCTGAAAACAGGAAGGAGGAAGGATCACTACAAGTCTGCTCTGTGTAGGGAGACCCTATAGACCCTGTACATTAAAAAAATTAAAAAAAAAAATATATATATATATATAGACAACTAGGAGGATGCTAGCCAGGGTCAGAGTAGAAACACCCAGCTCTCACTAAACCTGCTGATGGTGTAATGACAGTAAAAAGCTTGATGGGGACAGGGTCTCTCATCCTGCTGGATGGTCTCAACAGTCTCAAGTTTGGGGCCAGCTGCCCTCAGGGGCCACCAGTTGGCTGCCTCTTCCGGATGCCATATGTGCCCCTTGAGGTACCTGAAGATGCCCACAAGCAGCTGCAGGGTGATGTGCTGGATGCAGGAGTTGAGTGTCTGCTGCCAGGCTCGCTGGCGGGCGCGGCCCTCATTCAGATCTGTGCTGGAGCTCAGGTGAGCGAGGTGTAGCTCGGGGTGGAGCTGCAGGCTCTGGACCCTGGAAGGAAGCAGACAGATGAGGCTGCATCACGGGGCACAACTCTACGACAGCTCACCAGTCAGGGCCACTGCCGCCCGTAGGTCAACACCTCAGGATGCTCTGAGACGCTGTCAACCACTCGGGGGAGGGCAGTCACTCTGCATCTGCAGCTGGAAGAGCATTCTCCCCCCACAGCACCCACATTTCGGGCCGTACACAGGTTAACCCCTCATTCCAACACTGGGCCCTGCCTGACTGGTGTGCACCCCTTTCTGGGATGCCTCAGGCTTTCCGCAGAGGCTGTCTTAACCAGGCAGCGAGTGCTATGGGGAGGAACAGTCACAGCACTGGTTATATCTGCCAACCCGAGTCACCAAAATCACAAGACCTGGCCTTCCTAAGGCTGCCCAGCACCACGCTGCAAGGGGGACTCTGGACATCAGGAACAGAGCTGGGGGCTTCTTTTTTTTTAGGGCTTTATTTTTGTTTTTTAAAGGAATACTGAACCACTGAGCCATCAAAAAATTTTTAAAACAAATTTTTTTAAGGTAGGGTCTTCCTGAGTTGCCTAGGCTAGCTTTAAGCCTATAATTGCCCTACACCGTCCTCCGAAGTATATAGGATTACAGGTGTGAGCTACTGTACCTGCCCAGACTATGGTTCTAAATAAGCAAAATAAGACAACCAATTCATATTTATTCCACAAATATTCCATAAGTACCTACTATGTACCAGGTACCAGGCCTGGTTCTGCATGTTGAGTAAAAGCAAAGTCCCTGCCTGTGTTGAGCTTACATACAAGGGGGAAAACAAAAACAGATAAATTAACCACAAAACAGTGAGGGGATGAGGCAGGAAAATCCAAACAGGTCCTTGGGCTGCACATGGAAAAAGTCAGACTGGGTGGAGATGACGTCACCCAGGAGATGACCTTGAACCTGTAATGTAAAAGGCAGGACATGAGTAGGAGGAGGAGAAGGCCATGGCTACCAAAAGCCCTACTGTGGGCACGGTGGGCTTGCCGGGCCAGTGTGGCTCCAAGCCGGGGTACAGCTGTGAGGCAGGAGCTAAGCGGTCAGCAGGAAGCTGTGAAGAACTCGTGCTGTGCTGGGGAGCTGCTGCTGAAGACATCCCGGTGCTGGCTGGCCCAACTGATCAGCCAGCTGCCATGCTGTCATCCGTTGGCACCAAACTGGCCTATGACCCAGCAGACCACAGGATGGACAGCGTAGCAGGGAAGGACACGTGACCAGCTCCCCTGCATCGCTTGCTAGAACTCTTGTCCTCACTTGTACAGAGTCAATCGGGAGAAGGCTGCCTACTTCTTGCACCTTCAGAATGCCGTCCATCTCCCTGCCACCTAATGCACTAACCCAGCAGAGTTCTGCACCAGGTCCCTGTCCCCACTTGCCAGGAAGGTTGGCAGCTGCAAGGATGCCATGACAAATACATACTTCTGATGAAACTGAGGACAGAAGGGTGAGAGAACAACTAGGAGCCAAGGCTTCCCAGGGAAGCTGGGAAAGAAGGGTCACTGCCTCTTGTCCCTCTGGCCAAATGCCCAGGTACAGATATACACCACATTCCAGAATCCCACAGGGAGACTGTCCTGTAACCTGGCTCGTGGGCTCACACCTTGGGTCAGACAGGTGCATCATGAGCAGCACACACGTTAGTTCATGTTTATAAACAGAGTCCCCATGATAAGCCACATGAGCCACCACGCACTGCGTACCCTGCTTCCGACCTGTGCACTGTGTGCATTGTATTCTGGAGCCCTAGCAAGGCAGACAGACAGCAAACAAACACCCAAGATGCTGGCAGAGGTCAGTTCTAGAACGGCTCTGCAAGTCAGGGGACACAGCTTCTGATTCTCTGAAAGTAAATGGGACAAGGAGGGCACAAGTTTTGCCTTTCAAGTTCACAAAGGTTCAAATTCCAACAGAACACCTTGCACAAACTGCCTGCAGCGGCAGGAAGCGGAGCCCTGTGACCCCACTCCTCCACTGCAAGGGAGGACACATTACCCTTTCCCACCTCCACCCCTGTACTTTTATCACAACTGTTTCTGGGGGCCTTTGGGGCTTTTAAGTTTATTGATAATAAGGGTGATACTCCTGCATACAGACTGAGTGTCTCTTCCCCAACAGGCTTGCAGCTGGGCACGTAACTCCGTGGTACAGTGCCTGCCTAGCTTGCATGAGGCCCTGGGTTTGTTCTCCAACACTACAACCAAACAAACAAAATAGCTCAGGACCAGAAGCCTTTCAGATTTCAGACTCTGGAATATCTGCATGTATTTAATGAGCTATCTTAGGGATTGAACCCAAGCCCAAACATGAAATTCACTTATGTTTCACATATTCCCTGTACATGCAGGGAAACTTTTAAATCTGATGTATCACATGAGGTCAGAGGAAGAACTGCCCAATTACATCATCAAGTCAGCACCCCAATGTTTCGGATTTGGGAGCATCTCAGATTTATGAATCCTGTACTTTGAAAACAACCATCTGGTAGAAGAATGAGTTGCACCACAGAGAGTCAGATGTGAGAAAACCTGTACAGAGGAAGGCCAGGATGACATGCCCTCCTCCTTCCTGTACCCCCAGCCTGCAGCTCTGCGGCTTCTGGTCTCCCCACAGAAGAGGAGGTGCAGATGACTACTCTGCATACAGTTGCTCCCCCCCCCCCCCCAGGGTCAGCAAACATCAGTAGGGCTGGGCCAGCTGCCAAAAGCCTGAAAGGAAGTGAGTGCCACTTCTATGACTCACATGCAAGGTGTGACAGTAGTGGGACTCACAGGCCACAAGGACAGACGAGCAGGAGCTCTCCAACTACCCTTTTTTCAAAAACTCATAAGAAAAAGGTGCTGCACAAACAACCCAAGGGAGGCCGGTGCTGCTGCACCTAGTGGTCCTGTGCACGCCGAGATGACATCTGCTGGGCTACAGGCAGACACCCAGGACACACCGCAGGCTGCCACGACCAGTGAGTAATCCCCCTGCACTGCTCAGAGGAATGTCCTGCCCAGCTTCTGCACCACAGCAGAGACCACAGGGCCCAAACCTAAAATATATTATGGAAGAAGGTTGCTGACACCTGATCTGGGCCGATGAACCTTAGTAAAAGAGATGAAAGAAAGTGTCAGCAGCTGCAAAATAGAGCTCAAAACGATAAGAACTCCAATAGATTGCCAGGGAGACAGAGGAGGTCACATCCACAAAGTCCCCTGGCCTGAGTATTCCAATGCAAGGCTACCACTGTTCTGTCACTACTGCCTAGTCCTGCCCCACTTAACACCCCTCTACTGAACAAACAAGAGATAACAGTACAGGAGCCTGAAGCACAGGACCGAGGATCAGGAGAATAGGGCAAGTGACTGTCCCCACACCATTGAGCCACAGTTAGTTTTTAAACAAAATTGGACTATAGACAAATCCCTTTCCTTTAAAAATATTTGTAAATAATTTCTAACCTCTAAATATATAAAACACCCACCAACAATATAAAATTAGAAAAAAACAACAAACAAAGTAGCAAATGCAGAATTTAAACGAAGACGCTCTCGAACGCACACTACTTCCTGTTACCTCTGAATGAACGTCTGCGCCACCAGGAATGGGATGTCAGGAATGTCCATGTCACTGGCTGAGGACTTAGAGCAGGTAATGCTACCATGATCAATGTCTATGAGAATTAAACCATCGGCTTCCTGCAGAATAAAGACTGATGTAAGAATCTGAATTTGTATACACCTTTAAAATCACCCAAATGTATTTTGCATTCCCTAAGAGAGTATCATTGCTTAATTTATTCTACTACACAATCCCCAGCAGTGCCAAAAATATGCACATGTATCTTTATTATCTACAAAAAACGTAGGATGTACTGTGGGTTGTATCAATGGGATAAATGTCATTAAATGAGCCTTTCTCTTATTTTTCATTATTACAGTAAAAGTCACTAACATACTATTTACCATCTCCACCAGTTTTGAGGGTACAGTTGATTACTGTTAATTAGACTCACATAGTTGTGCAACTTTCACTATAATCCAGCTGCAAAACATTCTCTTGCTCTTACACTTAAATGATACACCCACTCATATTGACTCCCCATTCCCTCTTCCCTTTAGCCCCTGCCACCCACCATGCTACTTCCTGTATCCTCTAGTGTGACTCCTCTAAGGACCCCACGGAAGTAGGATCATACAGCATTTGCCCTGTTCCTGGGTTACATCACTTAGCAGGGTGGCTGAGGTTCACCTGTATTGTAGCATGGGTCAGAGTCGAGGCTGAATATTCCACTGTATGAACAGACCATACGCTCTCTCTTTAACTCCAGATTCTAACATGTGGTGTCAAATTTTCATCGACCCTGGTACAAACACGGCTTTGCACTACTTTGTGGTATCCTGGGGGATAGTCCAGGCCTCCACTGAGTGCACCACCAGTCCTCAGTGCCCAGCCAGCTCTGTTGCCCAAGGTCCTAGGTTAAGTGACTGACGCATAGAGAATTTCTCAAATATGCACGTAGGTTACTTGTAAAATCTTACCCATGCCAACATATACACTGAATGGGTACTTCGCGAGAGTTCTGGAATGCAGGCTCCAGAATGTGACGCTGAATTTCTCTGAGGGCACCAGCCCCACCTATCTTCCTGAGCCCAGCCTCATTCCAGGTGACAAAGGAAACACTATGTGCAAACACCCATATCTTCTTGGCCCTGAGCCTCACAAGGCAAACAGTCTCTAGCCAGCAGGCACATAGTGCCCTCTGGAAGAGTCAACGCCAGGCCTTGGTCCTGGGTCTCCCCAACCCCCTCTGCAGGACCCATTGCGGGCCAGCAACACAAACACGCGCACAAACCCAAGATGCTTTCAGTTAGGAGTAACTGTGGCTTCTGGAATCTCCCAGAAAAGAAAGTTCATGAAGCGAGTTTCCTAAGTGAGTGCTGACTGGAATTGTTAGGTAAACATGCCAAAAAAGTTTCCCTCCTGAAGAGCCTGGAACAAGATTTTTTTTTCCTGATGACTAAAAAAGGAAAACAACTTGGAACTTCAGAGCACAGCCAATTTTTTCTTGTCCACAAGGTGGACTGGGTGACGCTTTTCTGTTCCTTCCACAAAGCCCTGAATGGCCTCTTCCCAAAGCGTGTTTTTCCCCTGGTGAATCACTGGCTTTAAGACACAGGAAGAAAGGCTGCCTCTTCACAGGACGGACAAGCCGCAACCTAGTGCCTCCCACCTTCCTAGCCAATCAAGCGAGTACTCAGAGGTGGAGAGTCACTGTAATACATTCCACTGGCTTGAACCACTAGCGATGCACACAGGACAGTCCCATCGGGCAGCTTGTACCCCCAATGGGACAGTCCTGTGCCGCTCTATGGGTCAGTCATGCACATATCACCAGCATCTCAGAGCTGGCCAGGAGCGAGTCATACCTATTACAGCCCTACCACGAACTTATTAAACCTCCAGGGAAGACGGCTGAGGGGGACACAGGGTCTAGCAATAGGCCAGCATCAGGCTGCAGAAGATGGCAAGGCACACTGGCATCCATTGTATTATTTTCTTGGTTTTTGTATAAACTCTAAAATCTTCAAAATAAAAAGTTAAAAACCTAGACTACAAACAGTATTCTTCACAGAACTAGAAAAAAACAATCCTAAAATTCACATGGAACCAGAAGCGACACAAAATAGCAAAAGCAATCCTGGGTTATAAGAATAAAGCAGGAAGTATTACAATCCCAGACTTGAAGTTACATTATAAAGCTACAGTGATAAAAACAGCATGGTGCTGACACAAAAGCCGACGTGAGAAATCAGTGAAACAGAAAAAGAGGAGCCAGGGGCAACCCTAAACACATTCAACTATTTGATCTTTGGCAGAGGCCAAAAAACATATACTGAAGGAACGACAGCTTCTTTAATAAATGGTATTGGGGAAACTGGCTATTCACATGTAGATTGACTCTAGATCCATATTTTTTCACCATGTAATAAACTTATATTAAAATGGATTGTAAAATGAAATATTAAAACAGAAACATTTAACCTGCTGGAAGATGAAATAGGTAAAACTCTGGCAATCACAGGCACAGGCACATACTTTTGGAATGGAACCCCTGTTCCACAGGAAATAGTACCAAGAATAAAGAAATGGGATTGTGTCAGATCAAAAAGCTTCCGCACAGCCGAAGAAACAACCAACAGAGTGGAGAGACCACCTACAGAATGGGAAAAAACTTGCCAGCTACTCCTCAGGCAAGGGCTAAAGTCTAGAACGGTGGTGGCGAACCTATGGCACACATACTGTGGCAGGCTGTCGGTATCACTGAAAACGCTAAAAGGTTCACCATCACTGACCTAGAATGTATACACAACTCAAAAAATTAGACCCCGCCCCCTGCAAAGGAAAGGCCCAATCAAAGAATCAGCAAGTGAAAGGAATAGACACTACAAGGAGACAAATGACCAATCAGCACACGAAGCTATGTTGGACCCTGCTGACCTTTAGAGAAATGCAAATTAAGGCAAGACTGAGTCTCTTTCTTACCTAGAAAGAATGGCCATCAGCAAGAAGTCAAATAACAAATGGTGGCGAGGCAGTGGAGAAAAGGGAGCCCTTGGCAGCTCTATGGGGTAGGTTTATGTTTTACTTTTTTCTAATTCTATTCTGTTTTTTACATTTTTATTAGTACATTGTTGTCAGGGGTATAAACTAGCATCACCCCTATGGAAATCACTATGGAGATTCTCCAAAAAACTAAAACTAGACATCCCATTTGATTTGGCTATTCCCATTCTAGGTATCTTCCTGGAAGTGTGAAAGACACCACAGTACAGTGGTACAAGCACACCCATGTTTATAGCAGCACTATTCAGTGACAGCTAACCCTTGGAAGCAGCTGATACGTCCATTAACAGATGAATGGATAAAGAAAACGTGGTACTTATACACAACAGAGTAGCACTCTGCCACAAAGACAGATAAACACAAGTCCTTTGTAGGAGGATGGATGCACCTTGGGACCACAATGTTAGGCAAAATAAATCAGATACACAAGTTTAAATATTGCATGGTTTCTCTTATATTAGAAACCCCAATTATAAAGAGTAAAATGAAAGATAGGAAGTAGGGAGCTAGATCTTCCTCAAATGGGAAGGAGATTAAAGGACAGAGGGAGGTAGAGGGAGAGAAGGGAAAGGAGATGAAAACTGGGATTGGGTTGTCGTGTACATGTCCAATTCCACAGGACAATGTAAACCTTACTTAGTGCAAACATGTACTAATAAAAATGTAAAAAATAAAACAGAACTCGAAAAAAGTGACACATAAACCTATCTTGTAGAGCTGCCAGTAAGCACATGAAAAGACGCTTGACATCATTAGTCACTGGGAAACAAACGCACAGGCAAACCAAAGTGAGCCTCCAGTTCCCACCCGCCAGGAGAGCTGCAATCAAAGAGACAAATGAGAATAAGCACTGCCGAGGACGCAGAGAAACTGGAACTTCCTACCCACTGGAGGGAATGTCAGCTGAGGTTGCTGCAGTGTCAAAAGGTCTGGCAGCCCCTCAAATGATTAGACACAGAGTTACCACAGAACCCCGCAATTCCGCTCATTTCCTTTCTGCCCAAGAGAAAAGGAAAACTAACTCCACACAAGAACTTGTACGAGAGTGTTCCTAGCAGCATGATTCGTAAGAGCCAAAAGGAGAAAACCCAAACAGCCACTGGCTGTCACCAAGTTAATGGCCGCCTGTCAACTGTACCACAGTATGGCAGACTCACACAGTGGAATCTTATTTGGCCTTAAATTTGGAACAGCTACTATAATACGGACGAACCTCAGAAAATGGTGTGAAGTGAAAAAAGCCAAATTCACGTTGAACTGAGTCCACTTATAGGAAATGTACAGAATACGCAAAGTAATCAGATAAATTTTGTAGCATATAAACTGTATCACAATAAAACTGGTTGGGTTGTCTGGGGGTTTTGCTTGTTTTTACAATACTTGGGATTGAAACATAATGCGCGTGAGGCACGGACTCTATCCCTGAGCTACATCCCCAGGGCTTTTTAAATTTTTATTTTGAAACAAGGTCTCACTAAGTTGACCAGCCTAGCCTTGAACTTGCAATCCTCCTGGCTCAGGCTGCTGAGTGCCTAAGGGTACAGGCATGTGCCACCACACCTGGCCAAAAGAAGTATTTATTAAAATCGAATCCAGTCCGCATGCTGCATATTAGGATTGTCACAATATTTATATATCCGGGACAGATCACCACTTCAATGCATGCTATCACCAATCAGCGTAACAGTCAAATGTCTGCCAGGTACTGTTCTGTTGCACACCGGACTCTCACCCCAGCAGTGTGGCTGACATTTTCACTATCCTTTTACAACTAAGAAAAAGAAAGTTCAGGGTTCTGTTGCGGGTCAGCCAGATGACAGTAAACAGCCACTAAATTCAGCAAGGCCATGAGCCCTTCTAACACATAAGTAACAGGCTGCATGGACTTGCATTTTTTCTAGGAACAAAGTTTATAACAGCAACAAATCACAAAAGTTGAATTTTTTTTTTTTTTAAACTAGAAAGTATGTAGCAGTAACAATGGAGCTGCCAACTAGCAAACTCCAGGCAGGCGCCCAGCACCACATGGGACCCAGAATCTTCCTCTGCTCTGAGCCTGCTCAGAAGGACAGGTCCCTGTTGCATTTCAGATTAAGAATCAGACTGGGTGAGGCCAAGGAATTGCACATTGCACAAGGTTACAAACAAGTAAGCGTCAGAGGCTGACTTGAACGCAGGCTCCAGGGACTCCAACACCAACGCTCTCCTCACCGAGTCTTCTAGGGTCCCCAGAGCTGCCTGAATCTGAGTGGCCTGTGAAGACCCACAGGCTCCAGGTCTTACAAGGCTGTCGCCTGAACATACCTCAAGGTCACCCAGGGCAGGAGAGCTGGCATAGGATATGTGCTCAGCAGAATGCCTGGAACTCGACAAGCACTTAGGAACAGAAGTGGTGTCTCCTCAGCACAGCGTGCTCTGCCCCACGCACAACACTTTCTCTTTTCCTGCTTTTGTTTTGGATACTGAGGATGACACCAAGGCCCTGTGCTCACTAGGCACAGAGCACTTTCAAAAGCTACATCCCATCGTCCTCACCATAGACTCACAGGAATTTAAAGCTCCGCATCAAGCGTTCTACACCTAACCTTGCTGACTTCTTCAAAGTGGTCAAGGTGGCAGCCCATGAGAAAAGACGTAGGAGCCATGACAAAATCCAGCATCTGGCCCGACAGGATGGGCACAAAGGTGTGCTGCCACTGCAGGGGGTGGAGGTAGATCATGAAGCACTCAGCGATGAGGGTCAGCAGGGCCCAGTCCGAAGAGAAGAACACAATCCGCCGCTCCGTCAGAAGGCAGGCGAGGATCTGCAGAGACCAACAGCAGTGTTCAGATGCTGCCAAGCCTGCAGAGCAAGCTCCAAACATTCAGGGAACCTGAATATGGGTTCTACCCGGGGCTCCCTGCTCCATTTGCCAAAATCAAAGCCACCTGAGACCCCTCAAAAAGTTCTATTTGCAAATACTGCACCCTGTAGTAAATGTTGGCACTATGATTTGGGCCCCCATGAAGCCACCAAGTATGTGCCGTACCTGAAGCACCTTCTCGGGCTGGAAGCACAGCAAGGGCAGGTGAAGGTCCAGGTCGATGACAGGGCTGTCAGGGTCTACTCGGGAGGGAAACACGACGTGCAGCGGCTTCACGTTAAACATCTGTGATGACCAAGAGCCACAGTTAGCCCAGAGAACTGCTCACTGTGGAAGCTGGCGTGTGCTCCAATTCACCACCTTGGCACAGGAAGTGCCCGAGTTAGAGACTGCTTTGGAAGATTCATACTACCAGGTGATAAGCCATAAAAGTATACAGTAGTCTAGAGATACACATAAGTGTCAGAAGTTCACAAACTAAGTACACAATGACTTCCTTTTTGGTAAGCTAATTAATCGGCAAAAACTATTCCCTGGAAGACAAAGGTAAGACATTTGTCCCAACTGGCACAAATTCTAAAGCAAGCTTGTTCAAACTATTCTTCAGTATTAGGTCTGCTTCTTAGTTATTACATAGCATATGCCCTCAGTATTTTCCATTTAACAGTCAAAGTTCCTAGGACCTGTAATTCAAAAAACTGTGGAAGACTCCTTTTTTCTAAATGACATCATTTTGAAATAATGCTTCCATGTAAACTCCCTATCCACAGAATACCCATGTCATGTCACAGGGTCTAGTCAGGGAAGGAAACAAATCAAAGAGGAAGATATAGCTCCTTGCACAGAGGGGCCTCGCAGCTTGTTGGGAGATGAAGCTGTGGACAGCAAGTTTCCTGCACTGGAGTGTTGACACAGGGGTGGCCAGGAGCTCCGGTACCTTCTCTGCCCCGGGTTCCACTGGATGAGCAGAGTCCTAAGCAAAGATCCAGAAGATAGGAAGGAAACAGAGAAGCTTCACCAGGCAAAGCCTGAGGGAGGAGAACATGGGGAGCAACAGGGCACTGAGTCAAGGAAAAGGGCAGCAAGATGAAGTGCTTGCTACGCACACTTCCCTCCAGTCATGGACATCACTGTTGTGAGTGTATTTTTCTGGGAGGAAAACCAGAAACAAGAAAAGAGCATCAGGGGCTGGAGAGATGGCTCAGTGGTCTAAAACACCTACTTGGAACAAGCTTGGCTGAAGCTCAGGGACCGCAGTTCGATCCCCCAGCACCACATGCCAGCCAGCCGCACTCCCTGGTGGGCTGAGCTGTCCACACACACACACACACACACACACACATACACACACACACAAAATAAATGTTAAAAAAAAATTTAAAAAAAAGAAAAGAGCATCATTTCTTGGTATGGAGGACACAGTGGGTGCTTCTCATCAATACTTAGAAACTCTGCCTTCCTGTTACCAATTTGCCTACAGAAGTAAGACACACTGAACGTAAGGCAGCTGGAGCTAGCGGGGCTCACTGGCGGGGCTCTTGCCTAGCAAGCATGGGCGCTGGGTGCCATCCCAGCACCTCAGAAGTAAGAAAATAAAATAAGATACTCATTTATGTAACCAATAAAGGCCTTTTCACGTAAAACAAAATGGAATTAAATCCTCCAGGTTGTGATGTAGTATTAATAATCATGCAGTTTATATAAAAATTCTCAATATTTCAAAAAGTAAATGTGTCAGCCAAATATCCAATTAAACATAAAAGCAGACGATGCTGATCGCTCTACCTCTTGCTGCTGCTTGTCCCTGGGATTCCTTGGTGCATGCAGGCAGGGTCTCCCTGTGGGCTACCTTATCTTACTCTCTTTGCAAATGAAGAAACTGGGGAGAAGCAGATTCTAGGCCAACTGGCTGCCAAACATCCTCTGACTTGAGTTCCAAAATAATAGTAGGTTCATAATCAAAGCAACACAGAGACTCAGGAACAATGGAGGTGGGATACACACACACACACACACACACACACACACACACACACACAGAGGCACATTTCATTACTTGCAACCAATTAGGCCCACGATTTGAAAAGCAGATAACATCACAGGCAGAGGAAGCCCTGGGGCACTGGTGTCCCTACTATCTGATTCCCTCAGGCTAGGAGTCCAGGCAGTAAGAGGGACAATGGTACCAATCAGGGACAAGGGGACAAGGCTCAGCCTCCACTGCTGGCCTAGCCCAGAAGTAACAGGAAATGGCTGTAAATGCACATCACACACTGGAACCATCAGTCAAAACACAAGTGCAGGGGCCAGGGAGATAGCTCAGTGGAATAAGCATTTCCTGACAAGTGCAAGGACCTGAGTTCAATCCCCGGTTCTGCCAAAAAAAAAACCAACTTCCATCAATAAGTGCTTCCCTGGCAAGCGCAAGGGCCTGAGTTCAATGTTCCACCAAAAAAAAGACACAAGATTAGTACATTAAGTAAAATCAGTACTAACTTTTAGTAAGGGCCGGTCAAATAGCTCAGCAGATTAAAGCGCCTGCAAGCAGGCTCAGGGGCCAGGGGTTCAATCCCCAGGCCTGCTGGGCCAGGCCCCGCCCCTAAGGTGTGCTGAGATGGCAATTGAGACTGGGCGTGGTGGTTCATGCCTGTAATCCCAGCTCTTGGGAGGCTGTAAATAGGCAGATCACTAGAGTCTGATCTAGTAGTGAGGCCCTGAACACCCCATAGACCCTTCCCTAAAATACAAAAAAAAAAAAAAAGAAAGAAAGAAAAGAAAACACTTGCCTAAACCAATTTCTTGGATTCCTTTAAAACAACCAACATGCTAGATATGGTGGTGCACACCTATAATCCCAGCTACTCAGGAAGCTGAGGCAGGAGGATCACAAGTTCAAGCATAGCTTGGGCAATTTAGCAAAACTGCTTCAAAGCAAAATTTTAAAGAGGGCTAGGGATGTGGTAGAGCATTTATCCAGCATGCATGAGGCCCTTGGTTCAATCCCTAGCACCACAGTAAAAAAAAAAAAGTACCACTACATGACACTCCCTCAAATAGATCATGAGCTACGTTCACCCTTAGGGCCAGGAGCCAGTGACATTGGTTAAAGGAAGTCACAGGGCCTGAGTGAACCCATCAGGACACGGGTGTGAGCTTCACAGTCAGAACTAGAGGCAGACAGGCAGTTCTGCTGTGGCCCCTTCTACATGGTGCTCAGTGTCTGGTGGAGGAGACAAGCATTAACACACACACACACACACACACACACACACACACACACACACACACGAAGCCTCACTATAGACAGTGCTCTGCCCTGCAGGAAGGACTGGGGACTGTGAAAGGGACAAGGAGGTGGCCCAGAGGATGCTGTGAGGAGCTGAGACAGCTGTGCACCAGCTGGAAGAGCAGCAGGTGCTGGTCACAGGACATGGAGGAATTACTTGAGAACTACATGGGCAGGAGGCTGGTGGCAGCACCTCCAGGGGCTCCATCTTTCCGCTTAACCCTCCTGCCCCGGATCCTCACTGCATTTCTCGGCTTAGCCCTCCATCACGCACCTAGCCTCACTGTCCTGCTTCGCTCTGTACCTCTTAACCTTGCTTGCCTCACTGAGTTCCCATCAGTACCCTGGAGGTGCAGTGTTTAGATTTGGGTCTCATCCCCAAGGTATTATGTATGGGCAAATATGCTAAAATATGAGAAAAAAAAATCCAAAATCTGAAACAATTTTCTTATCCTAAAAACCTCAGCAAAGAAAGTGTCCAGGGGCCAGGGAAATAGCTCAACAGAGTAAGTGCTTGCCTGGCAAGCATAAGGGCCTGAGTTCAATCCCCAGTTCCACAAAAAAAAAAAAAAAAAGAAGACGAAGAAGAAAGCCCAGGGCCAGCCAATGACATAGTGAGACCCTGTCTCAAAAAAGAAAAGAAAAGCAAGTTTCCTTCTGTACCCACAAAATAAAATCACTCCCAACAAAGGTCCATGGGAGTGGACAGGAGAAGACCTGCTCTGTCTAGACTTGAATGCCCCTGCAGTATTCTCCACTCAGCAGATTCTGGCTTTGGAGTCATTAGGAACACATGCTTTCAATTCAGGACCACAAGTCTCCTGATCAGCTAAACTTATTTTTCAATAGTTAATAATAATAATAGTAATAATAATAATAAAATGTAGACATCCAAGATTTATGTGTATAACCTCCCAAAAGGGAATGATTTAGGCAAAGTGCATGCATGGACTGGGTTGAATCCCCAGCTCCACATGGTGTGCCAACCCCGCCCTGGGTGAACGAGACTGGGCGTGGTGGTGCGCACCTGTAATCCCAGAGCTTGGAAGGCTGAAGAGGAGGATCAGTACAAGTCCAATCTGTGTAGTGAGACCCTGTACTAAATACATTTTTAAAAAAGGGGGGGAGACTAATAAAGTAAAGCTCAGTAAACATTTCCAGATGTTTGACAGATGTGTTTGAAAAAGAAAGCATCTGGTGCAGGGCTAAGGAGTTCAGAAAACGCTGCGTCACATGGCCCAGCTTCCTTCAGGCAGCTCAGCAGTCTGACTGCCACATTACTCAACACAAGGGGAATTTGGGCCCACTTCTCCTGCCGCTTCCCCCTGAAACCCACATCAAGAAGTAGGTAGCAACCTTTGTCACAACAGAACCCCGACTGGGAAGTCCTTGTCTATATTAATTAAACACAGTGGCATTTCTAAGAACAATCAACCATGCAAAACCAGCTCCTTTTCATTCATTCTTTTGTACTAGCAAAAACATTAACAAGTTGAATACAGTAACCAATATTCAAAACAAATGAAGAGAAGGAGAAATTCAAATTTAACTAAATTAGGACTTACTTAGACTGAGGGATGGGGGTTCCTATGTATTTTCTGCACAGCAAGAAACAAATTTGCATGTTAACACTGAAGTATTCCACGCCATATTACTAGTTCAGTTCTTCATGAGCTGCTCAGCAAAACTCAGTCCTAAATATTTAACTTTTCATCTTTACAAAGGGCCTTGAGGAAAATAATTTGAACACAGCTAGAACTTAATCTTCAGCATACTACTTTTACTACTTGCAAAGAAAAACTTGTAATATAATAATTCCAGATTGAATTTACCAAATGGAGTGGTCCAGGTGGGGGACTAGGTATTAACGACAGTCTTGCGGCAAAATCTTTTATGTGATTGTCAACTTCAAAGTCTTTACAGAGCTTCAGATGAGTCAATAAACTGAAATAAACAAAAAGTCAAGTCATCAAATGAATGTGAGAATCCAGTTGTCATCCTTTGCCTTTCTAATCAACGGCTTGTCTGTTTCAATCTCAGTGCCCTCCCCAGTTATCAGACAGGGGCTCCTCAGGGTGGGACTACCTGCAAGGGGCCACAGAGGTGCATTCTGGGGGGTGATGAGGGGTAAGCATGGCATTGTTTTGTTTCCCATTCTGGTGCTGGTTACTTGCGTGGCTGTCCATTTGTGAAAAATCACTGGGATGTGATTGTTGTCATGCGTGCTACACTGAAGTCAATAAGGAAGCAAAATCCAACACCACCTTGAAGGGAAGAACTTGAGAAACTGTCTCCAAGCAGATGCTGACTTTTAAGTATATGATTTAAAGACACAATGTTCAACTGGGTGCTGGGGCAGAAGAACTAGGAACTGATGGTAAGGGTGGCAGGGAATGTGGCAACTGAAACAGCCCTCACCACAATCATGGTGGAGATATATATATATCAAACTATACTGGGCTGGTGAGATGGCTCAGTGGTCTAAAGCACCTACTTAGAACAAGCTTAACAAAGCACAGGGACCGCGGTTCAATCCCCCAGCACCACATGCCAGCCAGCCCCGCCCCCTGGTGGGCTGAGCTGGCCACACACACACACACACACACACACACACACACACACAAAAAAAAAAAAAAATAAAAAAAAAAAAAAACTATACCCACCCATGCACAAATGGGTGGGTGTCGTTGTAACGTGTCTATTACGCCACAATAAAGTTGCTTTTTAGAAATTTGTGTGTAAAATCACAACTGTCTCTACCTGCAGGATTCTGGGTCCAGAACCCTAACAGATTCTCAGGTCCTTTATATAAAATGATGTAATATTTGCATAGAACACACATAACACCTTTCTGTATACTTCATGTCATCTCTAGCTTACGTATAATAACTGATACTATGAAAATAGTTGCTATAATGAATTATTTTAGGAAAATGATAGGAAAAAAATTCTACACATGTTCAGTTCAGGTTCAACTGGATATGTGGCGTGGACCCCACGGGTGTGGGACTGCAGGCCTGGAAGGCAGCCTACGAGATAAAAGAAATACACAAAATGGACAGATGCTAAGAACATACCTTTTCTGAGAAGCCCAAGAATGGACATTAATATATGTCTACCTAAATTTATTTGCTACCTATTTGCTATGTTCACTCATTTGACCAATTGCTTTTAAAGGCTTACAAAGTGCTATGTCACGGGCCAGCCCTTGAGTCTGATGGGGAAGGAAAATAAGTTCAACATAGAGCAACACAAAGCCATGGAAGTCACCATGAGTGTGTCTAGGGGTGACCACAGTGTTGACAGTGCACCCGACAGTCACCCAGACCAGGCAGCCTTCCAGGAAGGAACCACCCCTGGCCCATCACCTATTATGGTGCAAGACTACGGTATTGTAGCAATTCAAAGCTCTGTTACTTTAAGCAATAAACAGTACTAACTCATGTGGCCACTGTCAGGATTTGGAAATTCAGTAACCCTCCATATTTGCACTAATTATAAAAAATAACAGCATCAAGGTAAAATTTAAAAAGAAAATTACAGGCTGGCCAGACAGTTCAACAGATTAAAGTACATGTTTAGGCAGATACAGGGACTGGGGTTCAATCCCTGGCATGTCATGCCGGCCCTGCCCACGGGGCACACTGAAACCACAATTGAGACTGGGAGTGGTGGCACACACCTGTAATCCCAGAGCTTGGAAGGCTAAAAACAGGAGGATCACTACAAGTCTGATCTGTGTAGTGAGACCCTGTAGACCCTGTGCTAAATACAATAAAAAAGAAAAAAGAAAAAGAAAATTGCCTATAGGGCCGGTGAAATAGCTCAGCGGACTAAGCGCCTGCTTAGGCAAGCACACAGACTGGGTTTGATCCCTGGCACCACATGCTGTGCCGGCACTGGCCCTGACCCCGGGTATACTGAGCTGGCCACCGAAACAGGACATGGTGGCTCATGCCTGTAATGCCAATGCTGGGGAGGCTGAAAACAGGAGGATCACTGTGAATCCAAGCTGTGTAGTGAGACCCTGTACCAAGTTTATTTTCTAAAAAAAGAAAATTGTTTGTAATCTACTTCCCCAAACAATGAAATACATTCTCTCTCAATTTGTGTTCATAAGAAGGTAAATTGTTCATAGTATCGCTATAGTTGATGAACAGATGATTTAAAAATATAATTCCTACTGACAGCGGAGGCATTTTGCCTTTTTTGGGGGGGCGGGCAGGAGGGACCAGGCATCTTGCCTTTCTATTAGGGTTCCTGACTGAATGTCCCCACAAAACCTCATACCGTCATGGGGAGCAGACTTTTTCAGATATAGCTGAGTCTAAAGTTTGTGACTGATTCATAGTACAATTCTGGAATTAAGCATTCCGGGATTAAGGCGGGGTGATTGCTAGATTGCTCTACTGATTGGATTGGCACCACCCTAGTCCCGGTAGTCTGGATAACAGGCAGAAAGAGGCTTGTCTCTCCCTTTGGCGCTTGTTGCTTTCCTTGGCTGTCTTGTGCCGCCATGTGCCACTCTGCCTTAGAACCAGCCGATTATGGACTGAAACTTCTACAAACTGTGAGCTAAATAAACTTTTCCTCCATTAACTTTGGGTGTTGGGTATTTTGTCCCAGCAGTGAGAAAAGTAACTAAGACACTGTCCTTTAGTCCTGACTACCTCTACTTCCCGTTCAGATAATGCAGCAATGAGCACTGAAAGAGAACTCGGAAGTACGGAAACGAAAGCCCCACTCTTTGCTGTCACACACACTTGCACCGATGGCCTGCGGAAGAACACTGTTGCTAGTCACACCAGCAAAGTGAGCTGCAGGGAAGCACAGAACGAGCTGGGGAGAGGACACACCTTCGTGCCCGTCGGCTGAGGCAGGCATCATGCAGCCCGCGGGCATTTGTTTCATTTAGCAAAGGCTAGACATGAGCACCCACTTCTCAGAGGAGCCTGGAGATGAGCTAGAAACCTGTTTACCTTCAAGGAGCAGAATATCATCAGTTAGTAACTCTAAAGGAACCCTGTCCTAAGTATAATGCTCGCTGGGGCCACAGACGCTGCGGACATGAGCACGGGCCCAGCGGTGTTTCTGTCTCTCTGTCTCTTCTGTCTCTATCTTTGTCTCTGTCTCCTCCATCTCTCTGTCTTTTTTTTTTTTTTTTTTCAGAACCAGGGATTGAACTCAGGCTTTTGTGCTTGCCAGGGAAGTACTTATTCTACTGAGCCATCTTCCTGGCCTCTCTGTCTTTCTTTTTCTCTGTCTCTTCTGTCTCTGTCTTTGTCTTTCTCTGTCTCTCTCCCTGTCTTTCTGTCTCTTTCTGTCTCCCTCTGTCTCTGTCTCTCTCTCCCTATCTGTCTGCCTCTCTCTGTCTCTTCCATCTCTCTCTCTCTGTCTCCTCTCTGTCTGTGTCTCTGTCTGTCTGTCTGTCTGTCTGTCTATCTCTCCCTATCTCTCTTAGACCAGTGGGCTCTGTCCTACAGACCTTTCTGTCTATGGCTATTAAATGTAGACAGGACCCATACTGTGTCCAAAAACCCAGCTGCTATAGCTTCTGCCTGTATGTCCCCCAAAAGCCTCAGGGGTCACTGGTAGGCCTTTTCAGAGGTGGCCGAATCTAGCGTGTGATGCTGGCATTGAGGGAGCGTGAGTACTGAAGTAGTCCACTCACTGGTCTGGCAATGTTCTGGATATGGATAAAGGAAGGCACATTCTGGGTGTACGTGCTCCCCACTTACAGGAGTGTAGCCTGGATGTAATATGAAGAACAGAGGAGGGCCACTGTCACCACTGGTGGCTTGCTGCTTCCTCATTACTTCGCTGCTCTGCTGCCTTCTGGCTGCCCTGGACTGATTCTCCTCTGCCCTGCCACCCTGCCTTGGAGCCAGCCACCTATGGACTGAAACCTCCACAACTGCGAGCTACAAAAACCCTTTCCTCCTTCAACTTTGGGCGTCAGGTATTTTGTCTCAGCAGCGCACAAAGTAAGATATTAGCTACATTTTATAAACCAAATGTGAAAGCACTGGCATTTGCATTATAAATCCTGCTAATTTGAAACAGAAGCTCACCAAAGCCTTGTTTGGCAGTCTATGGCAAGGTGTGGGGTTTACACAAATGTCTTTAATGGGGGGACCAGCCCCCCAACATGGATGGATTGCTTTTTACCATCATTACTAAGGAACTCTGCCTTTAATCAAGTATAAATTTTACAAATATGAAAAATTCATGGAACTTCAAAGCAAATGGCTGTCACTTATGTTGGGGGCACTGGTCTGTGCCAAACTTGGAGGCCTTTCCCGCAACAGGACCACCCTCTGACAGTGGGATCTATGGGGTTCTACAAAAAGCCTTCCTGATTTTTTTCAAAATTCTTGACACCCTCAGGCTTTCTGCTTATTAGTAGCAATAAAACAATTACAGACTCCACCCAAAAATCTAAATTATTTTGTTGTGGTCATGGTGGTGGTGATGGTGTTACTAGGAAACTGAACCCAGGAGCACTCTGCCACAGAGCTACATCCCCAGCCTTGTAAAATTTTTGTTCTGAGACAAGGTCTCACTAAGTTACCCAAGTTCAACTCGACTTGCAATACTCCAGCCTCAGCTTCCTGGGTAGCTGGGATTACAGATATCTACCACCACACCCCAAAAAGATAAGTTTTTAAAATGTCAATAAAACTTATCAGCACTGGGAATGTGGCTCAGTGGGAGAGCACCTGCCTAACATGTGGTCCTGGGTTTGATTAAAATTAAAGTTAAGATAAAATTAAAAAGAAAAAAAAAAAAAAAAACAGGGGGGGGCCTGACCCTTAGCTCAGTTCTTTAAGTGGCTGCTTCAACAAAGCAGTCAGGCTCAGGTTGCTGTGGTTCGATCCCCACAACTCAAGCCAGCCAAACCTGCCCTGAAGGCATTTGGAGCAAAAAGAACCAACAGGTGGAGGACTACCTGGACGACTCTCCTTGAAAGACGAGCATTTGGTCTTCTTCTGTGCATTGATATGCACAGAGCTGGCTCGGATATTTCTGTCTTCTCAATTGGTTTTATGCAAGGTAAACTGGTCTAGCCCAGGTACTGATGTGCAGTCTCTGGACAATGGGATGGGTCAGTGATGCCCTGCCCACAGCTCCCAAGTGGTATAAGTGAGTTAGGCTGAGAGACACCATGCTGTCGGCTAAGACTGAGCTTCGAGAAAGAGGCAGCGAAATCTCAGGGCCTGAGAATACACATCAAAACTGAAGCACCGACCACAAAACACTAGATACTGCCCCAATCTGCGATATGCAGATTACTCTGTCTGCCTGCCTGCCTGTCTGTCTCTCTCTCTCTCTCTCTCTCTCTCTCTCTCTCTCTCTCTCTCTGCATATTGCTGAGGTGATTTCTGGCCTGCTGCCTGGCCCAGCTCACAGCACTAATACACTTCTTGCCTTTCTCTCTGTCACTCATCCCTGAGCTACCTCCCTCTTCACAAGCTAATAAAACCCCATTCGGCCCTGCATCAAGGCCTTTGCTCCTGTTAACCATCATTTTAACTGGACTTAGGCACCTCTTGGCTCTTCACTACTTGAGATATGTGTTTGTGTCTTTATTTGTGCCTCGGGTTGTCCCGGAAATGGTAGATAGGAATTAACTCACTAGAATTCCAGTAACCTTTCTCTGGGATCACAAATATAAACTTCACTGGGCCACAACAAAGTCCAGAAAGGACTTCCTTTACACAACCTGGTCAGAAGAAACTATAACCTTCGAAGAGCTAAGAACAATTTTACTGATATGTGTCTCGTCTCTAAAAACCAAACAAAAATATACCCTTTCCGATGAGTTTCACTTCCAGCAGCACGGCACTACCCTCCTACCTCTGCCACATCACCTTCCTGGGTTATCATCACCGGATCTGGGTTTTCAAAGACCTCTGGCTGCCCACCCTGCCACTGCCCCCCCACATTGGTGTCAGGTCACCCCTGGGCTCACCAGGAGAGGCAGTCCTTGAGGGAGTTGTAGTAGGGGAACCTGGAGACCACACACACTGCAAAGGGCACAAAACAGCCGGCAGCACCCACCAAACTCGGCCAAGCCAGCTCCAAGTGTGCTGTGCCATTGTAGAAACAGCAGTCATCCTAGGGAAAGAGCAACAGGGACACTGTCACCCATGCCAACAGTCCTGCATCCAACAGCGGCACATCAGGACAGAAACAGCACAGGGATGGGAAAGGGCCCCAACATGTTCCAGCTAGCACCACCTCCCTGCTGCCGTGGACAGAGCCTCGTGGTATTTGCCTCCATGGAGCACTGAGGTCACAAAGAGGCACTAGAGACACCTGTGACCTGAGAATAAAAAGGGACACACAGGCAAGCAGATGGACATGCAGCAGTCACACGCAAGGCAACAACTGCGTGTGCCTGGGATTTACCCCATGCATACAGGACAGAGTGCCTCTGATTATATCTTTTGCCTCTGGCCAAAGTCATAATGGAAGCACAATTCCTTCCTCAGCCACTGAGGACAAGAGCAGCATCCCCTACCAGCTCTTCAAAGGCAGCTGATTCTCACCCCATGGCCCTGCCCAGATTGTACCCCAAAACAGGCTGAGTAAAATGTGCTCCAAAATTCTAAACCCTCTAAGGAAGGGGGATTGCAAGTTCAAACCCAGCCTGGGGACCTTAGCTGCCCTTACTGAGATCATGTGTCAAAACAAAAACTAAAAATGGCGAGGGATACACTAAAGCCCTGGGTTTAATCCCCAGTAATATATATCCCTTGTACAGCAAGTAAAGGGTGGAAATACATGCCCAGCAATGGATACATAAATCTCTCCACACAAAAGGAATGGAGATGCTAAGCACAGTGCTGCATCCATAATTCCAGCTAACTCAGGAGGCTGAGGCAGAAGGATTTTGAGTTTGAGGCCATTCTGGGCAACTTTGCAAGACCTTGCCTCAACCTAAAACTGAAAATGGGCTTGGGGCGTAGCTCAGTGGTACAGGACCCTCAGGTTCAAGCCCCAGTACAAGGAAGGAAGCTAAAAAGGGAAGGAGTGAAGGTGGGTGGAGGGGAATAGATCACGCCACAATGTGCGTGAGCCCTGGCTCATGTGTCATGCTAGGTGAAAAAATCTAGACACAGGAGGCCTCATAGTGTGTGATTTCACTTACACGAAATCTGCACTGTAAGGGCCAGCGAGATAGCTCAGCGGACTAAGCGCCTGCTTTGGCAAGCACAGGGATCAGGACTGGGGTTCAATCCCTGGTCCCACATGCCATGCCAGTGCTGGCCTGGCTCCTGGGGCACGCTGAGCCAGCAAATGAATCTGGGCATGGTGGTGCATGCCTTTAATCCCAGCGTGGCTTACAGACTCCTGAGGAGGCTGAAAACAGGAGGATTACTATGAGTTGGAGCTGTGTAGTGAGACCCTATACTGGAAAAAAAAAAATCTGTACTTTAGAAAAGCCAGAGTACAGGAAAGTGGATTAGTGGTTGGTGGCACAAAGGAATTAGGCAGGAAGGGCTTAATGAGTCCGGGAGTTGGGGGTAAAAATCCTTTGGAACTAGACACTGATGCCAGTCACACAGCCTGTGCATATAATCTATATAGCGGAACCACACGCTGTGACATAGTTAAAAAGGTGAATCTGATATGTATTTCATAATTATTTTAAAAATCAACACCCTGGGGCCAGGGAGATGGCTCAGTAGAATAAGCGCTTGCCTGGCAAGTGCAAGGGCCTGAGTTCAATCCCCGGTTCTGCCAAAAGAAAAACTAAAAATCAACACCCAATCAGAGGGCCCACCTACATGCAGGGGTCGGTAGTACTGGGCCACCACACCATAGGTCCTGTTCCCACACACATCAGTCAGCACCAGAAAATGGATTTGGTCCTCCTTTGGTTCTGGGGCCACATGCATGCCTCCTGTACACAGAGGGAAAGGAAGAGACAATCTCAATTGAAAATCTTTTCACAACGTTATAGGCTAGCTCATCACTGCTTCTCCATGGGGCACTTCGATGCCCAAGATGTGTCCACTCTGCAGCCTGCTCCCCCCTCTCTTCAGCCCCTCCCCCAGCAGCAGCTTCTTTACAATCCTTGTGGTCTGAAGAGTTGGGGGACTGGTATGATGGGGTCGACACCTACATTTGGAGCTCAGACACACCTTCGGGCCTGCCTGGTGGCATGGTGATATTTCTGGGCACAGAACCCTGCCTCAGATTATAC